CCACCCTTGCCCCCTAGGAAATTCCAGCCTCTCATTCGATTCGCAGCCATGGCCACGGCCTGCGGTTCAGGTGATGAAGAGATGGGCTCTTCGCCGCCGGATTGGATGGCGCTTTTTATGGGCATGAGCCACTTCGCTACCATATCTAGCAAAGTTGACAACCGCAACAGTCTTTTGTCCCCTGTACTTCACCACATGCGCGCCTTCTTCGACTATCGAGAGCGCCTGACGTTTCCATCATGCATTCCACGACTTTGGGCCGAGGTCGAAGCTCTCGACATAGACATCTCTCAAGAACGGAGGCAGATATACACGCGTGCTGTCCGCGAGCTTGACTTCATGATGATGATCTTCACCGAATTCCCAGAGACAAAGGAATTCTTACATGCGTTCACGTGGCTACACATGGTGGCAGACGACTTGATGCCTCTGGTCAGAGGGCCGTGTCCGCCCCAAGAGGCATTGGCCATCTTGAGTTATTTCTGTATGTCGATAGACTATTTGCCAATACATTGGTGGATGGCTGCCTGGGCTGATGGGCTTCGTCGATGGACAGTTGACCAACTAGACGAGAGGCATAGGGCGTGGGTCATAACGCCTCGAGGTTGGGGGGCCCATATGTGTGACTCCTTGTGGTCATCACAGTTCTCAGGCAGTGTATGATATCGAGAATGTCAGGACAAACATCGTAAAACGCAATGCTTTATCCCAAGTGTGAAGCGCAAACCCAATGCTTGACCGCCGCCATTCGCAGAAACCAAAAAGAAACAAAGAAAAGACCTGAATCGCCATGAACATGAATATACACCCAGACGTTTCATAGAACTCTGAATCCTGATGTGGAAAGGAGTATGTCCGCTGAGGTGGCGTCTACACCAAGCTTTTCAACTCAATGGGCTGTCGACTATAGAAATGCTCGTTAATGTCCGCCGTACTAGAGCTGATTGCCACGGGCTCCTCATACACGACATTACGTTGTTCAAGATCTCCGACATACCAAACCGCCAGGATCGCCATGGCGAGAGCCATCAATACAGCGTCGAAAATGTATATCCAAATCTCGTGAGAGATCAAATATCCTCCATTGCCCTGCAAATATTCGACCACGCGAAAGGCGCTTCGGACAAGAATTAAAAGGCTAGTCGTGTAGAGGACATAAAGATGACGTCTCCAGGAGATTGTGTTGACAACTGCCGATGGCGTTGGGGCGGCAGACAATCGAGTATGAAACGTGATGGTCACGATCATGAAAACGGAGAAGATAACAATCTGGACGAAGAGGCCGACGATAATGATCTTCTCGCCAAGTTCATATAGCTCAAGGGTGCCGACTGCCTGTATACCGCCTCCACCAGCCTGCAGCACGAAAGATACGATATCTCCAATGACGAAGATCTTGGTCAGCCATTTGACTGGAATAAGAGAGAGATGTTCAGCGTGGAGGGCTTGAATAATTCGACCAAGAATCATGTAGATCGACGCAGCAAAGAGAGCTGGAGCCACAAGAATCAACATGGATTGGACAACGAATGGTCCGATAGCCTCCTCATCGAAATGCGACATTATTCTTCCGCCGTAGCCGAGGGTCTGGACTGAGGAACACATTAGCGTTGTGATTGATGAGGTGAGTATAGGCGCCTTTTTTCTTACAGAGACCGCCAACCGTGAAGGCAGTGAAGTATAAAGCTCGAGTTCGCATCATTCTCCAGGTATGTGCTGCTGTTAAGAGCGCGAAAGTCGCAGCAGTGACGATTGCCGCCATGAGAGATGGAGTGTAATGGTACAGCGTGAAAACGAACTCTCCCTCTGCTTCTTCGGTAAGATTCGTCATATTGAAGGGGGCAGCGAAAAGGACAAACAGTGTTCAGATGTCTAGGAACACTGTAGAAAGCTGAAGGATATGGGATTCGAGGTTTGTTAGAAGGTTGGTATTGCGTTCGTTCAGGATCGAGACGATATTGAAGACTTGTAGGAGAGATGCGTGAAGTTGACAGGACTCAGAAGTTCTTTACTCAAATGGATCCTTCCTAGAGGTTGAGGTCAAAATCAAGACTTTTATATCCAACGATAATGGTACTGCAGGACTCGGAGGTTGCCACATCGTATTGACGCGATGCGAGTCCGAGATGGGCCATCAAAAAAAGGGGGCTTAGGAGAGGAAACCCCATGAAGATTGCGATGCATGGCTGCAGCGCTCAACCAGAAGTGTGGCAGTGCTTGCGGAGGTACCGAGCCTAGGAGACCTCGAAGGGTTTATGCCTGGGCCCTTGGCGTCGCGTCAGGGGTAAAACCGACTCCGTGTTTGCTCTAGCTCCTTTCGCCAGGACCATATGTGTTGGAGCTGTGTCAGTCGGACCATGTCCGTACCCGCACCAAGTCCGACATTCGCACTGGTGCAGTTTGAATATGACAAGATCTGTGTCGACCCCGCTGGCATCACATGCCAACCTATGTTCATTTGATCCTGCACATTGATATGGATGCAAGCTTGAAACAAATTTAGAATACGGTATTGTGCCAGCTTGCTGCAGAGCCGATGTGTTTTGTAAGATTCACAGGCCTCACACCCATTTCATAGAGTCAAGATCTTAAGTTTATCCCCCAGTACTGCGACAAACTTCGTAACAGACCTCGTGAGATGATAAAAGAGCCAAATTGAAGTTGACATCGAAAAGGTTTGCCTTTACCATGCCCAGTCACGATTTCTCTGGAAGACATTAGGTTGAATGTCATGGCATTTGGCCTAAAAGATGTAACCATTCTAAAGGTTTCCCAACGCTAAAAACTTAGCAACTATTTCAGCATCACTATCTGCAAATACTCTTTGAGAGTGCTCATTAGTATGCAAAGAAGCCGTTCTCCCTTTGGTGACAACTTCCTCCACTACACCCCTCCCCTTGGACTGAACGGTCTTGTATACACCCTGGGCGGGATATGCCAAAAGCCCAAACATTGCTGGTGGAGACTTAGATGTATGTCACAACTAGGGGGAAACCCGGAAAACATACCACTGCCAGGTCTGGTAACGAGACCCATTGAACCTTTTCCTACACCCTTGAAAAAGCCAAATGCGCCCTCTTTCTTGGCCCCTTCCAGAGGTTTCGTGACGACGCCGGTGATACCTGCATAGAAACCAGATCCAAAGTTCTACATCAACGTCATTATACTTTCTACTACAGTGGGGTATTTGGGGCGCGGAACAGCACTGGCTTACCTTTGCAGCCACAACCCCTCCAGACTTCCAATCCGTGACGGGCCCATGGTCAGTTACGGAATCGCCGTACAGTCGCGGCACTGCTTTCAATCCTTCGGTCAGTGCAAGGGGTACGTCCACGAGTGTTCCCTTCACAAGCGAGGTTGTCATCCCCTTGACACCGCGACCTGCGGCCGCCGCGGCAGTGGACCCCACGGAGGAGTTTTCAGATTCGTCCCCACGCACGCGCTTCATCTCCCTGAAGGGGTCGATAAAGGTACCACCCAGAGCAGTGGTAAAGTCTGTGATGGTGCCCAGCACCGACGAAGCTCCTGCAGTCAGTGGGTCCCACCGTTTGTTATCGACGATATACTCCTTGGGTCGGTAACTGGCAAACGATTAGCTGCCGTTGGAAAGACATCGTTAAAAGAAGCCACTGACGGTTTCACATCAGACATCTTCAGCTTTTTGGATCGCAATAGCGCAGCCAATGCAGCATCCGAGATTTTCAGAATATCGGTCGCTGCTTTTACCTTCTCTCCCTTGTGCTGGTAGCGCCACCTGGCGACCTCACCATGAAGGACATCGCAGCGCATGTCATCTAGCGGGAGCTGTTGTTGAAACAGTTCTACTGCACGCCTAACACCAAACTCCTGTCGCATCTTGCCCGCAATAGCCTCCGCCGCATTCTGTGCCTCCGGGCTGAGGCAGTACTGGATGGCTCCGGTCAAGCGTTCGACAGAGAGCGCTCTGTAGCTGATCGGTGGGGGCCCTGCGCGGTTCGACGCGATAACACCGCCCCAGAAGGGTTGACTGCATTTCCTGTCAGTTATATTCAAGGGCTGGAACGTAAGAGTCCACGAACTCGCCAAAGAAGGGGACGATTGTCGTTGGAATACCGTTCACGAGGCCACAGGCCGTGGTGCCTGCACCGCCGTGATGTACAACGGCAGCCACACGCTTGAAAAGCCACTCTGTCATGATATTAGAATCTGAAGCTCATTCTCACGAGCAGTTGGGGAGGTACGGACCGTGCGGGCAGTCTCCGAGATAAAACACAGAGTCAGTGTTCGGCTCGTCTCCACCAAGCTTGCTCCAGCCACGAGAGATGATGACCCTGACGCCAGCGATCCTGCATGCCTCTTTCAATATTGCCGTCATTTCCGTCGCATTATCAAGTACGATACTTCCGAAGCCGATGTACACCGGCTTAGGGCCGTTCGCTAGAAAGGCGGCGAGTTCCGGGGGAGGGGTGAATGAAGGTTCGTCTCGCATGAAAAAGCCGCAGATTTCTAGGCGACGTTGGCTTTCTGGTTCGCATGTGTTCCGATCAATTACTTACCTATTCTCGGGCCCCAGTCGCTCGGTTTCGGGACCAAAGCTGGAGACCAGCAATACGTGTAGGGTACCTTCATCAGGTCGATGATATCAGGGCCGACCGCCGCGGGCAGCGGCTCGAGTTCCAGACATGATGCCCTCCATGAGTTGATCACATCGCCCAACCTAGGTTAAGTCAGCTCGTTTAGAAGAAAGGCGTTGTGCAGACATCTCAAGCGTGACAGACGTACCCTTGCCATGTCATCAGGTCCACAACCCCATAACTCAAGTAGTTCGAGGTTTTGGGATCCATGTTGTGAGTCTTGACATTTGCCAACGGGTGTGGGAATGCTCGCGTAGCCGTCCACGGCATGGTGAACATCATGTGTAGAGGGATTCCTAGCGCTTGAGCGCAGTGTATATGCGCGAAGCTAGGGGGGTTCGCGATGATGGTGTCCGCGACAAAGGGCCGGCCTGAAACGGTGTCAGGCTGAACACAAGACTTCCAGCACCCGCGAAGCATCTCGTAAATCATTTTACGTTTGCGGGGGATGTCGCCGCCTCGGAGGGCCTCCATAGAGGGGATAAGGCCAGGGTTTTTGACCATGTACTCAGGAGTGTCAGGCATATATTTCTGGAAGAAGTTACAATACGGGATTTACATACGGACATGAGATCTTCAGGATCCCCACCGATGGGGTAGAACTCCAGCCCCGACGAGCGCACGAAATCTGCGAATGTGTCGTGTGTCGCCAGTCGCACCCTGTGGCCTGCTCTTTGCAGCGCCGTGCCTAGTGCGATGAAAGGCTGGACATCGCCTGAATACGTTAGTATTACCTCTCGCGATTATCATTTACAACCTCACCTCGACTTCCAACGACCTGAATATTAACATTGAGAGATGGGCAAGGGCCTTGCTGGGTTGCTGGTTCGGAAGCCTGAAATGGTGGTGAAGGTGGTAAAAGAAGTCTTAGTTCTTCGGGCTTTGTTGAAGTAAATTCGATATCAAGGCTGCCTTGTTCTTGATTTATGCATGAGCAGGTCATCCATCCGTTCGCGAAGTAAGACTTACCATTGACAGCTGCTGAGCTCGCCAGCACAGAGCCCGACGAGTGCACTTCATATGGCGGCGGAGTCTCCCAAGATGGATCCGTTTCTGGCGCTTCTCGGAAGCCGTCTACCTGGTCCTGCATTCTCGAAGACTCGTACGGCATGGTGAATGGAGTCTGAAGAAATCTGCCTGCCTGCTCTGGACGTGATAGAGACACATTCATATGTCGCAAATCAATGTTCTCCCCCCACAACTTTATACCACCACTACTCGAGCGCCACCGAAACTGAACTCGGTGCATGACGCAGATCGTGTCATGTTCACTGATGGACCTGATCTGTGCGCTGAGACACAAGGCGACTGGACTGAGTCGACGTTACGCTACACGATCAATCATTCGGGACGCTCGACTCCACTTCGGACAGCCCTCGCATTCGGGATCCGGTGCGATCCGCCAGGTTGGTTCCTAACATTAGTTAAGGTTTGCTACGGAAGACTTCAGGCCTAACTGGCTCAAGTCCCCAAAATCAAAAAAAAAAAAAAAAATCAAAAAAAAATCCGATAACTAGGTCTACCCCCTCTTGGAGACCCTTAAAAATGGATCTATCCTAGGTATGGGATTATCCAAGCTAATACGGCTTCATACGGCTTCGGACAGCTTCGTACAGCTTCGGACTATAGCCATGCCTTACGCCCATCTGTTGCCGTGCCTTGGGGCCACCTGTGGGTGTGCCTTGGGCCCATCTAAGATCGCACCACTTTTGAGGTTGGAGGTTTGTGTATACTCCTGACTAGAAAGCGAGTACTTGTCGTGTGTCGATTCCATGAGTTCCCTAGATTTAGTATCGTGAAGCCCACCGTTGATGCTGATACGCGAAGCCGAAGCGAACAGCGTCCGCAAGCGCCCAAGGTCCCGGGAAAACTCGCCAGAATCATGCGCCTTTCGCCACGAAGTGTTCTCTTTAGGCTCTTGCAGCGTCATCTTCTCGTGGAAGGTGGCCTTCAAAAGCTCTTGCACGTCGACGACCATGCTTTCGCAGTCATTGACGTCAACCGTTCGTGCATCCTCCATTGCAAGCCTCGCGAGTCTTTCGACGATTTCGCTCTGGTCAGCACATGCTGTCAGGGGGCGCAGGCCCGTGAGCATCTTCATCATTTGGAGCAAAGAGGCAATATGCTGATCATGTCGCATGGCCCGAGCTGCCGCTTCTGTCGTTCGACTAGCTGACTCGGCAGCCGCTGTTTCGTTTTGGATAATGTCAAGGTAGATTCGGAGTCTGAATGCCTGCCCCCTCAGCGTTTCTGTCATGTAAACCACGGCCCTCTCGCTGTTGACGGCGCGAAGCCGTCTATAAGTACGCTCAATAGTGGTTGCCCCGGGAAATACGACGAAATCCTGAAGGCGTGCAGAGATGCTCGATAAATGAATAGAGCAACCTTCCAAGAGATTTTCGAGGTCTTCAGCGTCATACGCTGGGATTATTTGGATTTGCAGGTTTGTGAAGCTTGATAACCGCCTAAGGATACACTGCATTAAAGTCACCTCGATCGTGAGGCGGCGTACGCTATCCGGAGCTTCTTTGACCGCAGAGAGAACGTCGTGAATCGTGAGGCGGACTTGAGAGTCAAAGTAACGAAGGCGAGCACACTGGCACCAAGCCCGATTGGTTCTGCCATATTATGCGCAATAGTCAGAGCCTGACTGAGCAATGTGTAGGGCTGGTCAAGTACCTACGAACTAGAGCAAGTGTGGGATCGGAGCTGTGTTTGGAAGGTGTAGCGTTGAGATTCGTACACCAGGTCGTAGAGTACTCGAAACATCGGTCGATAACGCTTTCTGTCGAGGCGACCTTATAGGATGTGGAAACAAAGTGCAGAATGAGGAGTGATGTGGCTCGTTCCCTTTTTATCCACGCCAGGTCAGGCTGAGCCATGCACGAGAACGCTCGCCCAATGGAACAGGTGCCCAATAGCCGACGTTCAGTCATATGCTCTTCCCTCTTCCCTGGCCATTCATTGAAATTCCACGGATGAGGCCTCCCGGACTTGAAACAAGAGACCATAGCCATCACATTTGCAAACGACGAGCACGTTCAACCTTATTCATGACCCATCAACTCCAACCCATCTGATCTACATCTTCACTCATAATACAAAATCCAGAGCAGGCACCAGAAGAGAACACTCGCCAGTGGCTCAACCTTTCCGAACCCCCCCGCTATGCAAGATTCCCAACCAGCCAGAAGAAGACAAAGGCGGAGGACCCCAAGAGAACTAGTATATATCCAAAGAAAATCTCGTATACAGGTTTGGTCGTAGTACAGCACATGCGCATCGACTTGGACGGATGAGCAACGCGGCGAGAGCTTTAGGTACTGAGACGCTATCTCGGGCTGAGAGGGCTCTTGCCAGGACCGACCGCCTTGCGTAGCTTCTGGAGTTCTTCTTCGAGCCTTCGCCTCTTCGCTTGCTCCTCCTGCGCGACTTGTTAGCTTCCATCGCGACCAAAATCTACGTAGCTGGAGTGTGCTTACCCGAATATCCTCCTGGAATTTCTTTCTCTCCTGCTTCATCGTCGCCCTGAATTGCTCGCTCAGCATCGACGCGCCGGCTCCGGGGCGCGCACCTGCACCAGCGCCAGGTACTGCCTTGAGCCTCTCAGCGTCGAGCTCCTCCTGCAGTCTGCTGACCTTGTCTCTGGCGCTGCGCATCTCGCCCTCAAGTTGGTCGCGTAGACTCGCCATCTCAAACTCGAGGCTTGCGCGAGCGGCCAGGGCATCGTCAAGGCGACCCTCAACATCGAGCTTCTCACGCTCGGCGCCGATAGTCTCGGCTGTAATGCCTTCAAGCTCCTTGAGCGTCGACGCTAGCTCATCCTTAAGACGCTCCACCTCCGTCTTCAGCTGCTCAACCTCGACCGTGCTCTTGACAGCGGCGACAGCGGCAGCCCTCTCCTTACGAGAGCCGTAAGCGCCGTCTAGCTCGGCCTGGGCGAAGGTGAGTTCCGTCTTAAGGCCGACCATCATTTCGTTCATCTTGTCCATCTCCTCTTGCTGGTCCTTGGCCTCCTTTGACTTGGCCTCAGCCTCTTGCTGCTTTTCCTCGGCGAGTCGCTCGGCATCTGCCAGCTTGGTGGTGAGAAGCGCTACGTTCTCCTTGGCCTGCTTGAGCTTTGATTCCGCGTCCTGTACCGTCGAGCTGACATCGGCCATTCTTGTCTGGACAGACCTGCTTTCCGCCTCCAGCGCCGCAATTCTGGCATCGCGTTCCTCAAGCTGTGGCCTGAACTGAGCAGCGCTGGCATCATTGACGGAGCGTGCGTTGTTGGCGTCTTCAACGTCCTGCAACGCTTGCGAGAGCAGTGTTTGGGCCTTGTTCGCCTCTTGCGCCGAGCTTTCGAGCAAGGCTCTGATCTGATCGATCTCGTCCTGCTTCGATCGCAGCTCTTCGTCCTTGGCCGAATCCGACTTGTTGTTCAGCTCGCGTTGCTGTTTGATCTGCCTCTTCAGAACCGACTTTTGGTCCTTCAACTTTGTAGCCTGAGCATAGAGCCACTGGACCTTGGTCGAGAAGGCAGACAGGGAATAAGGTTCGTTGACGTCCATGCCCTCATCTCCCGACACGTCATCTTCATCGGGCTCCAGACCCTGCTCCGCCCTCATCTTACGCCGCTGATCCTTGCGCTGCTGGATATCTGCAAAGCCGCTCTGAATTATGTCCCATAGCCCCATTAGCACGGCTTCAGACTGGTCGCCCTCTCTCTTCCTCGTTTCGCTGCTGGCGGTAAGTTGATCGACGCGGCTCAGCTGTGTTTCGAGGGCCTGGAGCGAGCGATCGGCGTAGTCAAACTGATCATCGAGCTCCGAGTTGGTCACATCAGGAGGAGTCGGGTACTTGGAGTCGACGGACAGCATCAGGTCGCGAAGCTGCGAGTTGAGATTGTCGACCCTGATTTCCGCGCGGGCCAGTGCTATAGACGCGGTAGCAGCTGCTGATTCGGCCTCTTCTAAGCTTTGCGACGTTTGGAATTCCTGGTCTTCTTGAACCGTCCGCAGGCCTCGCTCGAGATAGGCAAAGTGACTGTCGAGGGTCGAAGAACCCTGCAGAGACCTCTCAGATCCGGCAGAAGCGCCTGACGGCGGAGCCTGGTAATCGCTGTTCTTGGCTGGGTTAAGCTTGACGATGACGTCCCGCAAGGAGCGATTCAGCGTTTCGAGCTTCTGCTCCGTGCTCGATATCGATTGAAGGCGTTGGGTATCTTCCTGGCGCCAGGCATCGATCTCTTGCGCTAGGGCATCAGTCTGAGCGCGGAGCTGGTTGTTTTCATGCCGCAGCTGTTCACCCTGCCCCCGTGCTTGCGCATTCTCTTCGCTCCCAGCCTGGGCTTCGGATACTTCGTAGCGCAGGCGTTCATTCTCCGAGAGGAACTGGGAGTTGTCGCTTCTGAGGCGATCAATCTCAGCTTGCGCCTGCTCGTACTCGACTCGGAGGCGTTCATTTTCGGCTTGTCTCTGCGCGGTTTCGCCTCGGAGGCGCTCGATTTCTGCCTGTGCCTGGGCATTCTGCTCCCGGTTGGCGGACTTCAGCGGTGGCTCGATGGGGATGGAGCCCATGCCTCGACCGAGGGTCCCGTCATCGAGGCTCTGGTAGAGGCCTTGATCGTTAAAGTACATGTCGTCGCCAGGCTCCATGCTGTTGCGACCGTTTGAAAAGGCATAGAGACTCTCAGGACTCCCCGGCATGCCATTAGCAGGCGGGCCCATGTTCCGTGGCGCGGCCTTCTTTGATGCCTTGTGCGTCAACTGGAGAATGGCAGCCGTGTGCTGAAGCAGCCGCTGTCGGGGTTCCATGAGGCTCTTCTCGAGGTTCCAGAGTTGGGTGGCCAGCTCCTCGCATTTCTTCTCGCTCGCCTGTCTTTCCGCCTCGGCCTCGCGAGCAGAGTCTCCTCCGCTGTACCGGTTGAGCAAGCTCTTCCTCCTGTTTCCATCTTGCTTGCCGGTAGAATAAAGTTTGGACATGGATATCGCGGCATCCCGGTATTTCGCCTGAATGGTAAGATTCGTTCGGGCTTGTTGGATCCGTTGCGTCAACGTCTGAATCTGTTTCTTGAGCCCGTCCACCTCTTCCTGCGAAAGGATCTCGTAGGATTTGCTGTCCGTCAATGCCGTTTCCGTCAGAAGATGCACCTGTATCGGGTCTTTGAGGTCTACGAGAGCAGAACTCTGGATCTGTCCAGGGTTGAGCTGCACAAAGGGTCAGTAAGCGCCCCTGGTGTGGTGTCTGCCACGGAATACCACGAACCGGACTAGAACGGGGCGCATCGCTTCTGGAAGTGTTCGCCATATCCCTGGCGTATCCATCGACCAGCGTCTTGCCGTTGATGCCCAGTGGCTGCTGGTACTGGGCTGGGGAGAGCCTCCCCGGCGCATACCCATAGGGGTCTCTTCCTGGCGAAGACCGGTCCATAGCTGGTGACTATCCGCACAGCAGTTACCCAGCTCACAGCATCCTCCAAGCAGACTCGCTCAGGTTGCGCAAGAGAAAAGGGGGGGTCCGTCGAGCACGTCGGACTTGATGTAGCAGTTGGCGGTCGTCGCGTGGGGGCGCTCGATTAGGGGTTCGTTCACGGCTGGCTGCAGCGGGTTCCAGCACAAAGGCCCACTGGGACTCGGGAGTCGAGATGTTCGTCGAGGGATGTCGTAGCGAAGGTCGTCGGGTACGTCGAACCTACACACCTTATTGTCGAGTCGTGAAAAGAAAAAGAGAAAATGAAGTGGCTGCGATGCCATCAGCGGCAGGCATAGACACTAGGCAGGGCGGCATTGGCTGGGAGGAGAGGGCCAAGGGCGGATCTGCGGTACCTACGGTGAACCCCTTGCAGGCGCATCTGGCGATGCGCATTTGCTCGCTCCAGGCGCTATGCCCCTTTGGGGGCTCGCCCACGTCTTACTTTCAGCGCCTGGGGTGGCTGGGGTCTCTCGGCCACGCGCACCCGCCATGTCAGGCGCGTCCACCCGCCCGAGGCCAGTGCCAGTCGCGCTACGGCCCTGTATTTTTAGCTAGCCTCCTCTGAGTGTCGCCTTGGCCGGCGCTGGGGAATGTCCCAGTTGAGTGACGTGTTCAACTTGGGAAAGCAAATCCTGTCAGCGTCTAGCACACCATGTGCTAGCATGAGGCGCGCAACGCGCGAAGGAGAAGAAGGGTGGCCTCGAATTTGGAGAGGGTTCGCAAGCCATGCATGCGACAATGGACGCTTTGGTACCTCCTTTCGATCGCAATCTCGGGTCAACCCAGGGCCCTGGGCTAGGGTCGGAATAAGCGGGGCTGAGATATATGGGATCAATAGTCGATATCAAGACGTTACTGTGAGGCTCAACTCTAACGAAGGACATGCAAGAAAGGCTTTTGAAAACGTGCCAGGCTGTTGTGGCTGGCTTTATTTTTCGTCTGGGGTTTTTTCCCCCCGTCTGGCTGAAAACCTACATGAGCCCTCGCAGCTGGTCCTGCATCTCCTGAGGAACAGTCCTCTGCCTGCCCTCTCCTCCCTCGACCGGAGCCTGAACCCCTGAGGCCGTGGCAGATGTGTTTTCGCCCTCCAGCCTCCTCCTCAGCCCTTCAAACTCGTCGCGCCTCCTCTGTGCTCTGATGCCTACGAGCCACCCAGGCACGCGCCACCTCGTCATGGCACTAGGGAGGAGATCGTTCCTCCAGGAGTGTCCGACGACCCATCCCACCAGCGCACCGAGGACCGAACCCGGCCACTGGAACAGGGCCAGCTGCAGGGCGAGTGCGTACTTGTACGACTTATCTGACAAGGTGATGCCTGTGAAAGAGTCGCCCGAGGGGTTGGCAGACGACGTAGCGACCCGATATCGATAGATGTGTGGGATAATGGCATGGTATTGGGCGAGTATGGCGAAGATGATGGGAGTCGGACCAGCCGGCATGTAGTTGAAAAGTCCCGCTGTCAGCGGCCGAAGGAAGACTGTCAGAAGCAATGGCGGGATGACAGCTGTGAGGAGGCCAGAGACGACAATGAAGGACTGTGAAGCAACCATGTCAGCATCCGGTCCGTTAGCAGAGCGGTATAGAAACCTACAGCATATTTTCTCGATCCCCAGACCTGCTCAAGAATCCTCAGTTGATAGAGGGTCATGGAGGCAAACAAGGCCTCGCTCGAGTTTGTGTAACATAGCTGATAACTCAGCATTCGCCAGAATTGACGGTACTGCCAGAAATGCGAGTCCACGAGAATGTAGAAGTAATGCTTCACATCAAACAAACTCGCGACGACGGAGCTCGACACAAGACCAATGACCAGGGCGCGCGTCACGGGCGCATTCGTGAATGACATGATGGGCGAAGTGGCGGGGGAGCTGTTCGGTGGCACTTATGATCGCATCGTGTGTGGCAGTGGGTCAGGCACCGGCGATTGTCGTCGTCGTCGTAGGGCGCTCGTCGGCTTGGCTGACTCGTCCACGCTGAGGGCCGGAACCGTGAATATTCGATTGAGGTTGCCTAGTTTGGTCAAGGTGAAGAGTAGGCAATCAGGCAGTGCAGCAGCATGATCAACTGGGCAAGTTGGAGCTCGACCCGTCAATGATGCCACATGGACGATCTTCAAAGGACAACCCGAAGGCCAATCCGAAGGAAACCCCCCCTCCACGGGAGTTTAGAGCCAATGAGAATGAGTTGCGTCACAGGGGAGGGCCACTGGTCAGTGTGGCGCATTGGAGCTTACTGATTGGCGCTTGACGTGTTCTTCGAAGGCTCGGCTCGTGGTGGATGGCTGGGTACGTAACCCGGCGCGGCGCAGGCCACTCTCGCCGCCAATACGCAAGTGTCTTGTTTCTGACACTCGTGATAGCTTGGAAGGCCGACTTTAAGCTGGTTCGGCCGCCACTTGCTTCTTTTCCTTCCGTCCACACACCACCCGCACCAGCGTCAACTCTTAATACTGTACTTTTTTTTTGTTTGTGCGACTACATACCGCGCTATCCATACAGCCCTCCGAGTGCCTCAACGAACCAAGACAACTGGGATCGCCGAAGCTCAACAAACTTTCTGTCATCCGCTGCGACATGGCCGAGATCTTCCAGAACATCAGCAAATGGCTGCTACGCTCCCCTCCGTCCGAATGGGCCATCAACCAGCTTAGAGAGCTGTTGATCGGGGCGCTGAAACAAGGCCCCGTCCCGCAACATGTGGCATTCGAGATGGATGGCAACAGGCGCTATGCGCGGGGGAAACGGATGGAAACCATTGAGGGCCATCACCACGGCTTCGAAGCACTAGCAAGGGTACGTACGTCAATGCGGAAGATGTTTTGACCAACTGCTCACCATTTGCCAGGTCCTCGAAATCTGTTACAAGTCTGGCGTCAAGGTTGTGACTGTGTACGCCTTCAGCATCGAGAACTTCAACCGACCCCAATACGAAGTGGATGGCCTCATGGAACTGGCCAAGGTCAAGTTGGAGCAACTGACGCACCACGGCGACCTTCTTGACAAGTACGGCGCTGCTGTCAGGGTTCTTGGACAGAGGGATCTACTACGCGAGGACGTCCTCGAGGTTGTCGACAGGGCGGTGGAGATGACCAAGAACAACAAGAAGTGAGTGACCGTCAAGCTGCACGAATATCGTGCGATAAACTGACGACCCCAGAAACGCTCTCAACATTTGTCTTCCCTACACATCGCGGGAAGAGATGGCCACCGCGATTCGATCCACGGTAGAGGACTACATGACGCCTCCCGAGCCCAAGTTTACGGCATTCCCTGCTTCCCGCATTACGCAGAAGATTCTCTCGAAGCAGCTGGATGAGAAAGATCAGAAGGACTGGCCTGCGGTTCACGAGATCACGCCTATTCCTTCATCGCCTACACCATCCTCGCGGTCTGTCGCCGATGATGATACGGCGTCATCAGCGACACTGCCTCCCGGCTCCCCATCACCGCCGCACATCACACACCACGAACCCGGCCAATCCTTGCTGAAGAACCCCGAGACGATTACCGCTGAGACGCTCAACAACCACATGTATACGGCTGGAGATCCCCCTCTCGACATTTTTGTCCGCACTAGTGGCGTTGAGAGGTTGAGTGACTTTATGCTTTGGCAGGCTCACCAGGACACACAGATCTTCTTCCTCAAGTGTCTGTGGCCCGAGTTTGATCTGCAGCACTGGCTGCCCGTGCTGTTGGAGTGGCAGTGGAGGCAAAAGCAGATGGACCGTGAAGAGCGGCCCGAAAAGAAGAGGGCTCGAAAAGCGGTCAAGACGGCGTAGTCCTCGGCTTGGCGCGCGCGTCATGTGGGTGGGCATTTCTTGATTCGAGACTTCACCCTCCAATGCAAGACCTGGCCTGGCGCCTGGGTTGGGGTTGACGGAGGTTACGGTTGGGCTACTGTAATTAGTACTAGACGTTGGGACGGAAGATACCACGGCAGATTATACTCATACTTTTTTTCTTCATTTTCGATCCTTTTTTTTGGTGTCGTTTTTCTCACGAGAACACTGCCTACCCTGAAGAACCGAATGGCTGTGCAAAGTCAGGGGCGGGTTGCTTATCTGGGTGCACTTTCTTATCATGCTTCATTCTGTGGGTGGCCGTGCATCGCGCCTCCGACGTGTCCGCTCAACGTTGTTGCTGTGAGGAAAAGTGAAAACTAGAGTTCAATGTCAAGTTGCCGCAATTGTCATTGTCCAGCCCAGCAGCAAGACAAAGGCAAACGAGTGATCCAGGCCAGAATGCGACGTGACCAGCGCCCATGACGACACTGGCAAAGAGGCTTATCGATTGTAGTTGCGATCCCGATAAGAGATGTGGCTGGTGCGAGCCGAGGGGAAGGAGCTCCCACTGGAGTCTCTGGGGGCCTCAGGCCGGCTCCTCACTGGTTCCTGGCCCGTGACGGGATTTCTCCGCCCAAAGCCAGAGAGCAACAGCGCAGGAAATCAGTGGTAGGCGGCGGCAGGGCCCCCCCAAGTTGTCACTCTCTCGATCTCCCACCTCAACCACCTCACACGCTCGCTTCTACTCGCGTTCTGCCCACCGACCTCCAACATCTCCACACGATTTGACTATCCCAAACGCATTACGATGTCCTGAATCATTTCAATCAAGCTTCCAACTCTGCTCTCCGGTCGCATTCCGCCCCCAGGAGGCCCTCTTTAGAGTTCTCCCACAACTCGCACGACTTTCAAGACAAACCTCCTCCGGCCTCTTTGGCCTACCTCTCGACAACACCATCCCGAACCACACCTGCCCTTCTCCTCCCCTGCAGTCCGACCATGAAGTCGGCGAAGCCCCCGTCAGTGGACGGGCCGTCGAGTAGACGGTCCCAGCCCGTCCGACAGGCTCGAACCAACCCTCTGCGCGTCTCAAATCTGCGAGGGCCGATCGGCGGACGGGACTCTCTGCCTGGCGCTTCCAGCTCTGATCAACCCATCGACATCTTCCCCGCCGTCACACATTTCGCCGATGCGATCACCGCCCTGCCGAAAGAGCTCGTTCGCCATTTCACGCTGCTCAAGGAGGTCGATGCCAAAATATTTGCCCCAGAGGAAACCCTGTTCAACCTCGTCGACGCTGCCATGGCGCCCGTCGTCGCCGCGCAGCCCCCAGCGCCCAACGAGGCGGCCAGCTCACTCGCCCCGGTATCCGCGACCATCAGCGCGCAAAACAGCTCGACCGGCGTGGCGCACAGCATGCACATGCCACCTGCCCCCTCCGTCGCCGACTCCCACGCGCCCTCCGCTTCCGGCGGCCCCAACCCCGATCCTCGTCGCCAGCTGTACCAGCAGGTGGCCATCAAGATACAAGAGATGCTGGGTTCGCTCGAGGAGAAGAACCACGTCATCTCGACGGCCAACGACGCCCTGCAGAAACAGCTCGCCCGCATCGACGAGGTCTGGCCACACGTCGAGAACGAGTTCAGCGACGAGGCCAAGTGGGGGAGCACCACGCATTGGGCATACCCCGAAAACCGTGCCGGCAATAAGGCCGCCCACGCCGAGCGCTCACGGCGCGAGGGCGCTGCCGCCATATCGGCAGCTGCCCAGGCGCTGGCGGACGAGGCGGCCGCCAGGAGCGACGCCCGGAAGCAGGCGGTCCAGGCGAAGAAGAACCTTAAGACGCAGAATCACGACATGGATCTCGACGATAACGAAGGTCGCAGCAAGGCAGAAACTACGAAAAAGGGAGCCAAGGCGCGCAAGACGGCGGCCGACGCTGCCTCTGGTGCGGGCCCGGGCGTTACGACCAATGGCGCAACCAATGGCACAGCACCTCAGCCTAAGCGACGGAAGGTCGAGAAGCCGGCAGCCGCGACCGCGCCGGCAGATCGGGCCTTGGCTGGTGTGTTCGGGACCGATGCGCCCAAGACCAAGACCTCAAGCCCCAGGGGTACGCCGGCGCCCGAAGGACCCAAGAAGAGAAAGGCGCTGCCGAGTGGTAGCGGTCAGGCAAAGAAGAGGTTCGTTCTATCTGTCTGCTCACTCTTGGTTATATTCGCACACTGACACTTTTCGTCGCAGCAGGAACGGTGTCACAGACAACCCAACTTCAGCTACATCATCACCCGTCATTGGAGCGTTTCCAGACGCCAAGCTACCTCGTGGCTCACCAGTCCCTTTGCCTGTCAAGGCCCCGGTCGCCGCCCGCGCAAGACAAAACTCTATACAATCAACAGCAGATGCCAATAAGCTAAGACCGTCATCCTCTGCGTCCAACAAACCAAACGGCATAACGCAGGGCACGCCAGACCTCCCACTAACGCCCAATTGGCCGCGGCCGGGGGTGCCTGATCCCAAGCCAACAAAGGAGACGACGACTGCGCCAGCCAAGCCCGACACGGTCATGAAAGACGCCGAGCCCGTCGAGCCTCTGTCGGTTGCGAGCACCCCCGCCACGAGCAAGAAGGAACTGCCCACGGTACCGAAACAAGAGGAGATGGACCGCAAGAGCGAGCCTGTGCCGCAGACGGCCACCGCGGCCACCGTGACCAAGAGCGGCCGCGCCAGCAAACCATCGACACCAGCGTTGCCGAACTTCCCCGACGCCGTCGTGCGCTCGCGTACGTCGCGCAACGCGGACGGCAAGGACGCAGGCAAGCGCAAGAAGAGCACCTCGACTACGGCGGTGCAGGCGGCGCAGACAGCGCGGTCCATAGAGGAGGGTGCCAGGAACGGGAGCGGTGGCGTCGGTCTCGGTGCCGCCGCCGCACCAGGCGAGGAAGAGGAGGGCGACATTGACGCGGACGAGCCGCGATACTGCTACTGCAACAGCGTGAGCTACGGCGAGATGGTGGCGTGCGACGCCGACACGTGCGAGCGCGAGTGGTTCCATCTCGAGTGCGTGGGGTTGAAGGTGGCACCCAAGGGAAACGGTGAGTACTCTTTTCCCCAGTCCTGCGCCTCTGACGACCTGCATCTGCCTCCTGGCAGTGTGGCTGCGTTTCATTCCCCGCATGACGCGATTGCTGACATTTTTCGACAGCGAAATGGTTCTGCGAGCCGTGCAAGAAGCGTCTGACTGCCGCGGGCAAGAAGGTCAATGGCAGGTAGAGCCTGTGAATCTGGCGTACACAGGAGAGTTATCCGACGAACCCAGGCACATTCCACGCACAAGCATTCATCAAGCACCGTTATCGCTACTACCACCATCATCGTCATCACCGGTATGACATGTTTCCCGTCATACGACTTTGTCTAGTGCTTTTTTCTTTTCTATTGTTTTCGTCTTGTTCTCCTTGGGCGTTGGGAAAAAACATTCCTTGGACTTGGACGGGGAAGAGGAGGCATCCTCCTCCTCCACCGCATATCATACCAGGCGTTAGGGTTATGCGAATGTGAGCACGTTGCGGCGGCGACGGTGGGGAAATCCCGACATGACCCAGAAGGGGGTAGCATTCGGAAGTTTTCTTTTTTTTGGTTGTACGTGAAGTCAGTCAGACAGGAGACAAGTGACGACGAACCTGTCGTGTGGGCCCAAATGGTCCGGGTCTCACGGGATGACTTGAGGTGTACGTTGCGTGTGCAAAACAAGACATGAAGAACAAGGGGCCAAAAATGCAAAGAAAGGGACGTCATCGTGGGGCCCATCAACTACACGGCATAGCCCTTGAACACGATAACCGCGTGACTGTGAGGACCAAGTGACCCTGACCTGTTGGTGTTGGTCTGCCGTGGCTGCCGTTTTGGGATGATTTGGTTGAGGAGGCCGTGGTTGCCGGGGGGTTCTTCTGCTCAGGGGCGGAGAGGAGTGGTCATGTGAGCGTGCATCGTGGGCGGAGCGGAAGGGAGAAAAGGGAGCGCGAGCGTTCGGTCATTTGGCGAAAGCTGAGTCCCACCCCGGCCGAGCGCAGCGGTGTTGGTTCGGAATCCCAGGGTTCGTATAGGGAGGGGGCGAGTTCTAGACTCGGGGCGGCGGACAGGGGCACGATGAGGGCCATGCATATAACGCTTTAGGGGTTTATCCAGCTAAGGTAGGTACCTGCCTAGAGTTTACCGTCGGCCAGCGGCGTTTGGTTACCTGGGTAGGTAGCTAAGCTGGAAAGACATCCAGCGAGCAACAGCAGAAGCACAGAGCAAGCTGTCCTCTCTCTCTTGCGCCGGGTTCCAGTGGCTAGGTGGTGGGTGTGTGTTTCGGGGAATGCGAAGAAGGGGTGGGGGGGCGTGAACAGATCATTTTCTGGGGTAATTGGTGCGAACCGGACGGCGGCAGGCGGCAGATGCGGACAGGAGCATCTCCGGGCGGCGGTGGCATAGGATGGGCCTACCTAGGAAGCTAGCTGGCAGGCAGCCAGGCCCCGTGGTTACTTGCGCCTCATCTCGCCTCGGAGCGCATCGCATCATGTCACAGCGCCTGGGGAATAGAACGAGCGCGTTGGGGTGGGAAAGGGGAAATGCTGGTTCAGCTGACCTCAAGACGGCGCTCATTGGGCCAAACATGACGGGGGATGCAATGCATTGACGAACTGACGGGGTGGCTCTCGAGGGAACGGTGAGCTGGGGGAGACAATCCCGAAACTACATCGTAGCATCGAAGGTCCCTGTGCTGTGTTGTGTTGTGTTGTGTTGTAATGTGTGTGCATGTGTAGTGGGTGTGTGTATGTAAAATATTCCGGCTGGGTGGACGCGAGGCCCAGTCAGTGTTAGCGAGCGGTGCTGCGGCGGCTGGCCTCGGTTCATCAGACTTTTTTTGAGGGGTTCTTGGTGTTGAGAAGACGATGGATGGCTGGATGGTTGGATGACAAGGGTTGGTGTTCTTTTTTTCTTTCTTGCTTCGCGCCGACTTTTTTTTTTCTTCACCTTGCAGTCGCTTCCCCACAAATGGAAGAGGTCCCCGTCCCCTGCTGCTGGGCCACGAGGGCGTCCCGCTAGAAGGGCTCGGATCGGACTTGGGCGGTCTCTGTTTCGCACAGGGAGCCAGCAGCCGCAAGGTTCTAGCATGGGTTCGTGTTAGTCAGAGGAGAGAGAGAGCGAAAGAGCGCGAGAGAAGGCTCCCTGGTCTGGCCCTCGCCTCGCAGCGAGCGATCAGGTGGTGCGTATAGGCATCTACACTGACTGCAGTTGCCGTGCTGGCGTTGTCATCCCCCTTGACGTACGTGCCCTTGGCAGCTTACCTGAGCAAGCTGTTGATCTCGACCGTTTGCGGTCCACGGTCACCGCGGTCGCTTCACCACAACATGGCTGTTGAATGAAGCATTGGCAAGGGACATGGCCAACTCGCAATGACCAACCTGCCGATCAAGCCAGCCGTCCCCTCACGCCAGGCCTCGTCATGTGGCAGAAGAGACGGCTCTCTGTCGTGTCGCACGGGGCCAGCTCCAAGCAGCGCCTGGCACTCGAGCCCAAGCAGTTTCCATTAGTCGTAGCCTGCATCAATTACGTTTGCGAAACACCACCTCTTCACCTCACATGATCAGCCAACGCGCAGGCGCTGTGCCCTGTCTGGCAAGTCGTCTATTCGTGCTTGGCGCCGTTCCATCGACTTGTCCAAAGGGATGCACAAGAAGGAATAATGCTGCCGTTCCGTCAGTCGGACTCGTCGTGAAATTATGCAGCCGAAAGACACGTCAAGTGCCGTTGTCGGCCGTGGCTGGGGCGATCCGACGACGGAGAGACATGTTGAGGATATCCGAGTGTTCGCGGAGTTACGAGCAGGGGGGGACTTTGCTGGTTGTCTTGGTCACGATGTTCTGGAGCTCGGACGCTGAAGGTGATGCGGTGGTGAGGTTGGGTAGCTCGGTACAGGCTAGATGAGGTGAGGCGAGGTGGCCGTTCCTGGCCTGGGCTTCTTCCGCCCACCTCAGCGAGAAGGGGACGCCACAGCAGGACAAGGCAGCCGCGTGCTGGGAGGGTGCGGTGACATGACAGCACTGTGCCATTCTGACAGCGATGATGCCATCAGTGGACTCTTCAGCACCCGGCGGCTGCTGGACGTACCGTGGGTTTTGCCGTGCCTTGCTGTACTGCAACGCTGGCTGCACTACAGAGACCCCAAGTCGCCGATACCCTCTCCCCAATTGAGCAGCATCGCAATTCCCATTACCCAACGCGAAACTCGCAGCACCGCAACATCGCAACGTCGCGACACGACACCCCTCCCCTTGGACTGCACGACTGTCGCCATTCATGTCAGGTGTGGTGAGACCGGCAATTTGCTCGCGCGCTGGCCCGGTTCAAACAAGTGTCTGGTCATCTCGATGGCTGGAGTCAATGCCAAGAAGGCTCATGTGACCATGATCGAGTGGCCATCCCTTGGTTTCCATTACCCAATTTTTGCCAAAGAGAAACTCCAGCGTCTCCAGCGCCGGCCCTCTCCTGGTGGTGTCAATATGCGGGCCGGTGAAAGAGTCTCCTCTGTGCACCCTGACGGCGTTGTTTTCGCACACAGGTCAGCTTTGACCTCTCACACAGGGCCATCAGTGGCACACCCACCCTTGTTCCATGGAGATCCGGTCAGTCAGTCAGTCAGTCAGTCAGTCATTCATTGTGCCTGATCAACTGACGACCAACTGTGAGGCGACTTGCCATTCTCGTCTAGTACTTGATCCCATTTACACAGGATCTCTCGGATGAGTCGAAGCACCTGCAACAGAGAAAAAAAATCCCAGTTCGACAAGCCTTCCAAGACCTTACCGACATTGACTTTTTGGCCCTGACAAGACGTGGTCCTCTCCCCATCCCCATCCTTTTGATTCATTCTACCCTCCATCCCCGGCCGAGCTTTCCACATACCACAACCCTGTTTGGTCCCCTTCTGCTTTGCCCCCGCCCATCTCCTGCATTCCTCCGAGCTGGGTACCGACCGACCTACCTTTGCCTGCCCGCCTGTCTACCTACTCGACTACTACTTAGTCCGCCTGTCGCCTCCCGCACCATCTGGTTTGCTTAACGGTTGCGTCAAGCACGTCTCTGACTTACCTTTAACCCAACTTGCCCGTCTCGTCACACTCGAAATCTCGTGTCACCTACCCGGCCAGAAGAGGCTCCTTCTCCTCTTCCTCCACCACCACCACCACCACCACCGTCACCTCCACCTCACTACTATCCGTGTCTTCAGGAATTCCTTTGACACCAACAAACCTCCTTCCCCGCAGCACGACCTCTTCCTCTTACCTAAAAGGTCGGCCGTCTCGGACGAATAGCAAAAGCTTCCTGCTTTCGATCTCCATCTCGGTCTCCTCTGCTCTTTCCTCTCTCTCCGTCTCTCTCTCTCTCTCCCTCCTCTCTCACGCTCACACCCCGTACCACGCCCCGACTGCCACCCCCTAGGCCCAGCATGACCACCGCGTCGGCTTCTCAGAGCCACGCCCCCTCCGCAGGCCACGCTCGACCCCTCCAGCAGAAGCCTCAACCTAAATACAAAATGGATGTCGATCGCCCAGAGCTCCTCCGCCGTCCTTCGACCCCGGACCAGCACGGACGCTCCTCCTTTTCCTCTATTCGTGAAGACAGCTGTGGTCCGGCCCAGACCTTCACATCCTCCAAGGTCTCGTCCTACGCCACTGCTCACGAGAACGCCATCCTTGACGATTCGCCAACTCCCTCGCCGCCTGCCATCGATATGGCTGAGGTTCAGTTCCTACCACCCGTTACCTTGCCCAACAGCAGGCTGCATGGCAACTGGTTCCCTGCCAACAACTTCAAGGGATGGAAGCAAATCAATGTCAAGGGGAAGACGGCGAGCCGCAGCTTCGGTGATCTCCAAGCCCTGCACATGGCATGGAGCACCCCGCCAGCACCGTCCAAGGGAAAGAGCAAGTTTAGTCTCGGTAGCGCGCCCATTGAGAAGCTACCTCTCGAGCTGCTCGGTATGTTCTGCCATTTTTGTTTCCCTGGCTTCGCTGCCGTCCTTCCCTCGCACGTGTGCTGACCACCGCAGGCTCCATCATTGAGCTCCTCGTGCTCGATGTGCCTCCGCCAAACGGCGTCACCCGCCGCAATGTCGATCTCATGTCTCTGCTGTTGACCTCCAGGACCATGCACGGCGCGACCCTCAATGCTCTCTACAGGAACATCACCATCCCCCACTCGAGAATCTTCCGCAAGTTCCTCGCCAACACCACCGAACACCCGTCCCTCGGCACCATTACCCGACGACTTGACTTTAGCCACTTCAACAACTCGACCCTATTCGAGACGGCCAGCGAGCGCAAGACGACCCGCAACCTGACCTCCGAGACCCTACTGCAATGCCTCCAACTCACACCGCACCTTCAAGAGTTCCTCGCCATGGAGCACATTGACGATGACCTCAGCTCCGACGTGCTCCAGAAGCTCTTCTTCAACCTACCTCGACTGCAGGCGCTCGATTTTGCCGGCTGCACGTCGCCCTCGTTCCGAGCCTCCTTCAACTCGCTCGTGTCCATGGAGTGGCCTGAGACCATGTCGATCACCCGCCTGTCATTCCACAAGTGTCTGACCCTGCCCTCGGCGGTCTTTGAGACGATCCTCCCCCGCCTCGTCAACCTGACTCACCTCGACCTCGCCCAGACCAAGGTCACCGACAAGGCTCTCTGGTCGATTCCTCACACGGCCCGCATCACGCACCTGAACATTGCCAAGTGCACGCTGCTGACGGCCCCCAATATTATCCGGTTCTTTGCCGAGCACCCTGCCGTTCGACACACTCTGGTGTTCCTCAGCGTGGCCACCGATGCACGCAGCCAGCAGCTGCTGGCCCAGGAAGATGTCAGCGCCCTGCTCCCCGTCCTGCCCAAGACGCTGCGCTCGCTGAGCCTGAAGGGGAGCCGCATGGAGGAGTCGCACATTGAGCTGCTGCGGCCGTTGACGAAGCATCTTGAGGAGCTCGCTTTTGGACGCAATTTGGGCGTCATGGCGGCGTCCAAGCTGTTTGTGCCGGCGGAGAAGGACGAAGAAGACACTCACATGACTGACGCAGGCGATGCCGAGACCGAGGAGGAGGAGCCCGAGGAACCTTGCGCCCTGCGCTACGTTGACTTTTCGGACCTCTGGGGCAGTGAGCTCGACCTCGTCGATCTCTTCTCGAAGAAGTGCAACCTGCTGCAGGCAACGTCGAACCCGCTCGAGGTCATTGAGGTGTCGGAGCAGTCATTCAAGCCCCTGTCGCGCAACAAGACGCTCGAGCGCATCGGGTGGACGCTGCAGGAGATTGGCAGCAGGTGCTGGATGGTGCGTCTGCACAAGGACGGCGACCGCGGCCACCGCTGGTGGAAGATGGGCGCCGACCACTGGGGCATGCGGAAGATTCCCGTGGCGCGCGCCGATGTCGGCGGCATGTACGGCTCTTTCATGTTTGGCCGAAAGCTCTGAATTTGGTCTGCGATACCCCTTTCACGATTCAGCGGTTGCATTGTTGGATTTTGCTTTTTAATTTTGCTCGATGCGCAGCATGGGTGATGGGAGATGGAATGGGTATGGCACGACACAGCACAGCGCAGCGCAGCGAGGCAAGCCGTGATTTGGCTCGACTCTTGTCATTTTGTTCAGGGAGATTGTTCATGCGAACGCTCCCATTTGTTATTGGGATTTGCTTTTTGTCTGGTGTTTGGGAGATTCAAAAGTATATCCAGGGGCATGGACAGCGAAAAAGGGCAGCAAAAATACCTCGACACGACGAATTGCATTGGGACGGGCGGCAGGTCAAAACGACTGAGTTGGCATCTGATGATCTCTCCTCTCTTTTTTTTTTCTTGCTTGGTTGAAACAAGTTTCTCTATTTTCTGTACGCTATTCAGTCTTGGCAGAGTCGTCTGAGGATGATGCACTGTTTCGCACAAATGATCAGCCATGACCATATCGCTGCTGTACATTGCATCGCATGTGACATTGAGAAGTTTTGCTGGTGATCTTGATGGACGTTGATGAGGTGCGGGTGCGGATGCGAGCAGGGATGCTGTCACTGTGTCGTCATTGGCACTGCATTAGGAGACGCGGACCCTGCCATGACTGGACCCTGGGTGCGCTGCTTTAAGGACAAGCAGGGGCTGCAAGACGTCTCCACTTTGGGCCTGATGTGATTGATGTTACGTTGAGCCAGATGTGGCTTGCATGTGGATGGAATGCCAAATAAAGTGCCTGTACGACTTGGAAGCGACGCTCTCTCTTAGCAGAGCGAGACCTCGTACAAGGGGGCTCCTCAGTATCTCAGTGAATGTGCAAAACAGGGTGCAGGTTGCTTGGCATCTTGCGTAGTAATTGGGATCGCGACTGTGCCGCAGGCCCAGCCTTTGTACTGATGATCGAGGCTTCTCTCAATTTTTTCATTCTACTAATTTGATGGTCATTTTCAGTCTGCGATATTTATACACCCCGAAATGCAGTTCCCATTCAATGTCTGATGGAGCTGCCACGTCCCGGATTTCATTGGGCGTGGTCGTTCGTCAATGAGGTTTCGCTAAGCGCCTCGCCCGCGACAGGGGTCTCCGACGGCAGACGGCCGGCGATCGACTGGCAGCCAGTCAGCGGGGTGGCCGCCTCCTCGCGAGGTACGCCTCTCGCCCTTCGACCCAGGGACTGGTTGGCTGTGAAGCATTCGGTCTGGGCAACAGCCCGGCCCGGCGCGCGCAAGAGGTTCGCTTGATCCAGGCGGAATGAAACGGTGCGCGCGCGCGCTTGGTGAATCAGGCCTCGTCCGCTGCGCGGCTTGCCGCGTCAAAGGGTTGTTTGCTTCGGAGGAGGTACTGATAGTGTTATAAAGAATGGTCGTCTGGCAGCTTCTTGTTATGTGTTTTAGTCCTGTGATTCATTCATTCACTGCAGCCACTTTTCTAACGCCCGAGCCTTCTTTTTTATTGTCTTGTTTTCTTTGACTCTTTCTTTCAAGTCATCATCATACTGCAGGGCAGTCGCATATATACCCCGGAACAACAGCTCAGGGCCAGCGCCCAGATTGTTGCATCACTCCGCATTCCATCGGCCTCTACATATCTACAGCACGCCGGGACTTTCGATTCCCGCCATTCCTTCCTAATTCTACTTGCCGCCTCTGCATTCTGCATTCTACATAAAACACGATGGGCAAATTCGGACAGGCCATGCAGGCTGGCCAGACGGCCATCGAACTGACGCGCAACGCCCAGGGCCTCGCCAACGCCGCCTCAGACTTCCGCGCCGCCGACAAGCGCGACCTCGGCCGCCAGGCCGGCCACGCTGCCTTCAGCGAGGGCGCCGAGACGGGCAAGGCCGTCGGCAAGACGTGGCTCAAGACGTTCGAGGTGATCCCGCGCCTCGTCTGCCGCGCGCTGCAGCTCGTCTTCGCGCTCATCGCGTGCGGCTTCTACGGCCACCGCGTCGACGCCGACCGCAAGGACGAGGACGGCAGCGGCGGCTTCTCGCCCGAGTGGCTGTTCGCCGTCATCGTCGGCGGCCTGTCGGCCGTCACGGCCGTCGCCTTCCTCGCGGCGGCGCCGCTAAGCGCCATACCCGTCGTCGGCAGCCGGATCAAGATGTTCAAGACGTATCGCGCCTTTGCGTGGGACGCGACGCTGTTTGTCGCGTGGATCGTCGTCTTCGGCATCATGGCTGGCATCTTTCTCGGACGCGACAGCGATGACCCCTACAAGGGGGCCAGCACGGGCGCCATGAAGACGGCTGTGTGGGTTGACCTTGTCAATGCCATCTTCTGGGCCGTCTCTGCCGCGTATGGCTGCTTCAAGACGTTCCTGGGGGAGAAGGCCGATCAGGCGACGGACAAGATTGGCAAGAAGCTGTTTGAGAAGAAGCAACCGCAGGCGCCTGCCAAGAGCGACGGGTACGCGGAGAGCGTATGAGGGTTTGAAAACTCGTAAATGGCATAGAGATAGAACTAGGCGTTAGCGGATACTACTGGGTATTGACTTTTGCATATGCGGCTTTGCGTGAGATGAAGTTGACTTTTGACCATCGCTGAGCGGCACCGACAGACGGTCTGGTGAACTGAAGCAGGGAAGGGACGTTATGTAAGCCAGACTCCCAGCTCTAGCTCAGCCTTATGGCGCCACAAATGTACGTCACTTGTCAGCCTCACGCGACTTCCACGACACCTGTTCGCTTCAGAGCCGCGGCCAAGGCCAACTTTCCCATCCTGTGACCGCGTTCGGCCTTCTCCCCCACGGATTAGACTTCGCTACCCACAAAGCTCGGCTCGACGAGCAAACGCCGCCATCATGTCTCTCACCTGGGCTAAGTATGTCTCTCTTCGCCATGACTTGTATCGGAACCAACTAACGCGTGCCCTGTAGCGTCCGCTCCCTGGTCATCTTCTTTGGCCCCATCCTCCTCCCCAAGGCCTACGCCTACTACCAGAACCTCAAAAAGGCCCGCGCCCAGGCCGCTCTCCCGATCCGCCCCGTCACGCGCCCGGCGCTGCGCACCATCTTCTTCCTCTCCTTCCTCGCCTTCCTCCTCGTCGTCAAGGCGACGCCGCTCTTCGCCCCCGAGAACATCTTCGCCTTGACACAGTCCCGCCTGCAGATCCCCGTCGATGTCCTCTTCAACCGCCTCGCCGCTCTGCGGCCCGCCAACATCCTGACGCCCCGCGACGAGGCACTGCGCGCCCGGTTCGTCAACCTCGAGTCTCGCCTGCTTTACTTCCAGTTCGGCCCTGCCGCCATCGCAGACTGCCCCTTCTGCCGCTCCGACGACCCCAAATCCTACGCCTACTACGCCCTGCCCGCCATCATCGCGCCGCACCTCCTCAACCTCATCGCCCTCGCCGCCGCCGCCTCTCGTCCCTTTGCCGGCCCCCACGGGCCCCCCTGGCGAACGACTGTCACCGTTGCCGCCACCGCCCTCGCCGCCCTCGACGTCTACCTCGTCACGGCCTACAACCCGCGCCCCAACGCTGCGGCGCTGCGCCTCGGCGAGATCGACACCTTCCACTGGACCGCCCGCTCCCTGCGCCTCGTCGCCCTGGCGGCGCTGGACCTCGCCCTCGCCGCCGCCCTGTACCTCTCCTCCACGAACAGGGCGTTTGCCGCGCCGCCACCCGCCGCTGCGCGGCTCGAGCGCGTCAACCGCGCGCTCGCCACGGTTCGGAGCAAGATGACGGCGTTCGGCATCGTCCGCAACGCCGGCGTGCGGGACGAGGGCCTGAGGAGCAGGCAGTCCGGCTACTGGGCGCACGAGGTGCGCATCATGGGCGAGGTCATGGAGGAGAGGGAGGTCGTCGAGGGGGTCAACGATGCGATCGGCAGCGGACGGGTTGATATCGAGAGGATCGAGAGGGATGCCGAGGAGTATGCCAGGAGCGTGCTACAGGCTGAGGAGGAGGCGCCCGTGACGATGGTTGGTTGAGAAAACAAAAGGCCACAAAAGAAAAGGCCACATCCGTCATTCATGACGCGCGTGGTACGATAGAGACAGGTGGGAGGAGTCACGATACTGTTTTAGAAGACAGGCGATGAGATAGAGAGCATGTCTCGTTGCATTCATTGGTCAATTGCCGCCACGCCCCCCCTCCGCCCCTTTCGTGATCCTTCACCCTGCCGTACCAATGTGATACACCCCGAGTGGCCATCATCTCGTCCCTGCCTGACCCCGGCCGAACGGCCTCCCCCGCGTCTACCGAAAAGCACGCAACGCCATGTCGTGGGTGTCCCTACCATGGGAACATTTCAAGTGTTTTTCTTCTTCTTGCTCTTCACACCCTAAACAAAACAGCGCTTTTCCTACACCTTCTGCGTGGCGGCGCTCCCTGGGGGAGGGACTCTGACACCAGTGACACGGTGCTACTATGAGCCCCTCTCCGACCTCGCCGCGCTGCTCACGCTGCCCTTCCTCTCGCTGCCGTCGGCGTCTGGGCTCAGCGCCTCCTGTGCCTGGCGCTCGAGGAAGCCCGTCCAGAGATCGGCGAGCGACTCCTTATTGGCGGCCGTGCTCGATGTCGTGTCGGTGAAGAATTCGGCGCTCAGGGACGGCGTGCTGGGCGTGCGGTGGAAGGGGGAGGCGGGAAGGCGGAGCAGGCTGCTGCCGGAGGTGGTGCCTGGCCGGGCGAGGCCGGCCTGCTCCCGCTGTTCGTCGGTCCAGTCGAGATAGCCGGCCATGACCTGGAGGATCTGGAAGCGCTTGGGGTCGGAGCGGTCGAGGGTGAGGAAGTGGAGCAAGTGGTTGGTGACGACTTGTCTGAGGGGGGAAGCGTCAGCTGCGGATCAACATTTGAGCAAAGCCGTGAACAGCATACCTGTCAACATTGTCTTCGGGTTTGGTCTTCTTGAGATAGCGGAGGGCTTTGGTGAGGTGGTCGTTCAGCACAATGGCCTCGTGACGCAGCTTGCCGATGAGAAGGTTCTTCTCCTTGACCTCCTTTTCGAACGGTCCCGTACGCTCGAGCTCCTTGGTCGCGCTCTCCCGTGCCGTCTCGGCTTCCACGGCGCGGGCGTCCGCCTCCTGGACGAGCTTCTTTAGCGCTTGCAGCTGCTCTTCCGACGTCTCGACCATCTCGCGGAGCTCGCGCTTTCGCGCCTCCTGGATATCGCTCAGCGCCTTCTGCAGGCTGTCAATGGCCTGCGACTGCTTATCCCGGTCGGCGGCGGCTTCCTGGTAGTTCTCACGCAGGGTGGCGACCTGTTCCTCGAGCTCCGCCGTCTTGTCGACGAGGCTCTCCTTGACAGAGCGCTCCTCCATGGCAATGACTTCCCACTCGCCCATGGCATTCGTCGTCGTCTCGACCTCCTGCTTGAGGCTCGACACGAGCTTGGCCATCTCGTCCCGCTCCTTGACCCAGTTCTGCTGCGACAGGTTGCTGCGGCTGCGCAGACTTGTGACCTCCCGCGTTGCATCTTGCAGCTCCTCCCGGAGCTTCGCCAGCTCACCCTCGGACGACTTGGCGCCGTTCTGCAGCTCAGCGTTCTGGGATTCGATCTGCGCCTCTAGATCCTCGATGCGCTCCTTTGCCTCTTCGAGCTCGGCGCGATCGCGCTTTAGACGCTCGCCGAGGGTCGACTTGAGGTGGTTGACCCGCTCGAGGAGACCCTCGTACTGCTCTTCGGCGTGCTCCTTGGCGCTCGTCGCCGCCTCGAGCTCCGTCCTCAGCTGCGCCGTTTCTTCGTCGTTGGCTTCTGGTTTGGTGGATGCCTCGAGTTGTTTTCGTAGTTGTTCCACCTCGACCTTGAGATCATCCCTCTCCCTTGCAAGGGCGTCAAACGCTGCGGTCGGCTGCACGTTCGTCGTGTCGGCGGTGGCGACGGCGGGCTTCGCTATTGGGGGGTTCGCGTGGCCGTTGCCATCTTGCGCGTCATTGTGGCCGTTGACCTTCGGTGTGGCCTCGTCGGGCTGCACGGCCGTCTCCTCTGGTTGTGGTGTCGCCTGGTTGTTCCATCAGTATTACAGCACGATACCATCAGAGGGGGCAATCTTGTTACCTCGACAGGTGTCTCTGGCTCATCCTCACGTTCATCGGCGTCGCGTTGCGGCGCGGCAACGTCTACAGTCACGACATCCTTGGCCTTGTTGGCGTTCTTCTTCTTGTTGTTCTTCTTCTTCTTGCCTGCCAATGCGGGTCCCATTAACACACGATACGATGTACACCCGCGAGACTGCGGTGGGGGGGGAGGGGAGGGGATGCCCTGAACAATGGGAGGGCGTACCTGACGGCGTGGAGACGGGGTCCGTACTCGGTGCGGGAGTCGACATGATGGGCAGCTAAGCACTACATCGAGAGGCGTAGCGAGGGCTCGATTCGGCGTGGGCAATCGTCAAATGTGTCCTGCTGCGAGGTTCTGCGAGACGGCGTACGTGGAGCATGCGCGACGTTCCATGTACAATGTACCTACCTAACCTTACACGAGACGTGGAAGGGTCTGGTTAGTCATCGCGCCAACCACGCCAGCTGGATGGACGGACCCTTGTCTCGGACCAGGCACCTCAACAAAGGGACGGCCCCTAGCATTGCTGCACGCTGTACTTGCTGCTGTTCATAACAATATACCTACAATGCGGTTGCTTAAACTGAATTCTTGCCGGTCAATTGCCAACCGCTTGTCGAGCTTCTGGCCTCAGGACCACACCGGATGCGGCCACGATGGCCAACTTCCCACGTCTGTTTTGTTCTTGGTGTCCCGGAGTAAGGGCCGTGGCGTATGGCCAATGGGGCGCTTTCATGTACCATCAAAGAGCCATTGCCATATGGAAGGTGTCTTGCCCCACGGGTGATGCCAACATCCTGATACCTTAAGATTCAGAATGGATGTCATACATTTCGGCCATCGAATGGCCATAGACATAGACGCGAAGGAAGGAGTCGTCGAGGTAGGTCCGAGTAAATGGACCAGCCTGGCAACCGTCCATACTCAGTCTCTCGATGGTGGACTGCACCCCAACGTCCAGCGATGTCGTCAACAGTAGAAGCATGAATCGAATTCTCAGCCGGCTTGATACTATACAAGAACGTTTCGATGTCGCTTAGAATAACACGGAGGCTCGCCACCGGATCATCCCGTCGCCTTGAAGCTACCTGCCCGCCCTGGGAGATCTCTCTACACCTATGACTTCTGCATCGTCAGAGTCCGATCGGCCGGCGAGACCTAAGACGCGGCCGAGAAGCAGTGCGCCGAGAAAGGTGAGAGCAACGACAACAAGGGGGTTGCGTCACGGTACAAAGCGACATGCACATTGCCTTTTACATGCACTCGTCAGAGTCGGTAATAGTGCTGCTGTCTACCGCACTACACTTGCGAGATGATGCTGAACCGGTGATGCATTGGGCTCAGTACCTGAAAGACTATTCCCTGCCATTAGCTGTGTGAGCGGTATCCGCTCGGCACCTTTTTTATTTTTGGCACTCAATCTGGACCGATTGGTGTTCATATCTAGCATCAACTGCCAGCTGTCTGGAAGTTTCGCCGCTGAATAACCCCCGCAGAGACATTGTAGTCGACCGCCATAGTGGCCACATACCAAGTCTCGATATCTAAAAAGATATCTACATGACAAACTGTAAATCATGGCTGTGCTCAGATCTGGCTCTTCTGAAGTTTTGGATGAACCTTTGGAGGCTTGGATGGTATGTAAGATACTGCACTCATCCAGGGGCCAAACCGAATCTGTGACTCGACAGGGTTGAGTTTAGATCGCTTCCGCTTGATATGTTCAAGTTGGAGTGGCTTGCCATCATCGTTCCACAGGCAATGCGACCCGAGACCTATCTCACAGCCAAGCTTGGCGGCTCCAACAGTCGAGGCCGATGTGAAATAGAGGATGCGATCTTGCAACTCAACGGGAAGCGAGTTCAGCAACGTGGGCCGCTGCGGGCGTCTAGTCATCCAGAGAAGAAGCTCGATGGCCCGGCTTGTGGGGGGGTTCCAGCCGTCGAATAGTGCCGCTGGTTGTGTTCCTTCCATTTCACCATCTCCCATAAGTCGGATAATTGCGACCTGTTGAAGACTGAGAAGAGCATACGCGGTGCTCCGCCGCAGTGTTGCAGGCTGCTTTGCAGTTTGCAAGGTGAAGTGGCGTCGTATCTCCTCGAGACCATTGTTCAGATCTTGGACCAACACGAACCAGGACCTGCCGGCCTGGACGAACTTGGAGGCAGGCTTTTGCCACTCTGGCAGGTCACAGACGAATGCATAAGGTCCTCCCGGGCTCCGATCCCAACCGGTTCGCTCTACTACCGTGAAGTCAAGGGCGGCGATGCGTATTGTGGCGATTGCCAGTTTGAGAAATGTTTCTTGGTTGTACGAGTGTCGGAGTACGTGTCTCCATGTATGCCCAAAATCTTGCAAGATTCTTCCCACAAAGTACTTTTCTCTTGAGATGTCGCCGACATCCAAGTTCCAGCATGGAATCGAGAACTCGCTGGAAAATGCCGATGCTGTCGGTGCCGGGAACGGTGTTACGGAGAGGAAGTCGTCCACCGACAGGGCGCGGCTGCACGCAAGCTCCAGAGGCACTGCGGAGGAGCCAGACCGCTTATTTCGACTCAGGACACCTTGGTCGAGATCGAAGACCCAGGTGCTATCATAAAGACTATCTCGCCGGTCGCCAAATGGATTCACAATATCATACGCTTCAGACCAGCAGGCTTGGATACCCTCTCGCAAAGAGGTAAAAAGCTGGCCTAAGGGTTGTGAGAGGTTGTCCTTGAGGCGGTTGGGCCAACAGTTTGGTATTGTACTTGTTAATCACCTTTGTTTCGGCCTACCAGGAGCCTGGCGAACTCGTCAAAACAGCGCGCATCTGAGGCATCGGACTTCTGGTAACCCTGCCAGATTATGGGGTCTGTGACGAGACTGTAAGCAATGCTGCCGTTGGGAGGAAAAAGACCAAAGTCCTGCTGCCCACCTTGCTTCAAGTAGAACAAGGTACCCATATCTATTGTTCAGCGCGCTGGAGGGACAGAGGGTCGGTGGGTGGATTTGTTGCCAGTGCTGGAATAGTGTACTCACTAGGCACCCAAACGGCCCCTGGGCCTGTCCATCCACCCCCGTCGCTTAGTCACAATCCTTATCGGCTTGCTGGTGCTGGGTTTTTAGCCAGCCTCATGGATCTCTCTAAGAACTTTTCCTCTTTTCTTCTCCATACATATATTTACTCTTCGCTTGAGGGATGTGAGAAGAACCACACTCAAGTGCCTTCTCCGCGCTCGAGCTGAAGTAGACAGATACTCTGCCCTTTATAATCCCAGTGCTTGCCCGGTTTTCCACGGGTGCAAGGGGTTCGCTATGAGCATACATACCAAAAATATCTTCATCGCCATCGCTCTGTGACTGCGAGGCGCTCAACAACGCCTTCAATGGCTGGATCAAGAGCTGTCCACATGCTACTGCGTGGTTTCCAACGTCTGCAATTGACAGAAAATGTTGAAGAATATCATAACCCGTGCAAGAATGAGTTCCCCCAAACTCCAAATCTACAAAGCATCCCTCAATGTTTCACTCGCGTTCATGCCTTGGCCTTCTTCGCCTTCTTGCCCTTCGCTTTGGACACTTTAGGCTTCTCCACAGCCGCGGCTTCTTCCGTGGCCTCGACGGCAGTTGCGTCCTCCACCGCAGGAGCGGCATCGACAGCCTTGACCTCCTCCGCACCCTCGGCGGCGACAGTCTCGGGGGCGGCAGGCGCAGGAGCTTGCTTCAGCGCGGGAGCCTCAAACTCATATCCGAGCTCCTTCAGCTTCTCTGCGCGCTCCAGCCGCCTCTTCTCCTCCTTTGAGATCTTCTCGACCCAGGCAGACTCGCTCAACGGACGAGCGAGCTTGTTGCCCATGATCTTGCCCCAGGGCGTCTTCTTGAACCGCCTGTTGGCTCCCTTCCAGATGTCGGCGTGCAGCTGATCGCGGGGCACGAGCTTAACGCGCAGGATGTGGCCGAACAGGAGGTAAGAGTTCATGGTGCGGGCCGCAATGTCGGCATCGCCCTCAGACTTGAACTCGATGAAGGCGTAGTGCTTGGACTTTCCAGTGTGCTTGTTCCTTGACAGGCGCAGTTTGGTAACCTGCAAGTGAGGATTAGTTGTCTGCAGAAGCGGGGAGCGGTGAGGTGAGATGAACGTACGGGTCCAAACTGGTTGAAGTACGAACGCAGCTCATGCTCGTAGAAACTGCACAAAGTGTTAGCAATCATTGATTTTGGTGAACGCGGTGGTAGATCATACCCGTGAGGCAGGCGTCCAACGTAGATGACACCAGGCTCGTCCTTGGCGGCATTCTTGCTCGCGGCCAATGCCTTCTTCTCCTTCTTGGACAGCTTGGGTATTTTGCCGACATCCTGACCGGTCTTGAAATCAGACCCCTTGTCGGTCTGGCCAGTCTCCTCAGAATCAGAGTCTAGACCCGCGGCCAGGGCCTGGAGCTCAGCGTCGACCTCGCCATCGTCCTCCGACGCGTCATCCTCGAAGGGAATGACCGTCTCCTCCGCCGACTCGACAACGATCTCCTCGGGCTCTTCCTTGGGCTCTGCGATCTTGACCTTCTTGGCAACCTTCTTCTTCTCCTTGACGGCGGGGGCGGACTCGGCTGCGGCCTCGGTTTCGACGTCGACCTTGACCTCAGTTTCGGTCTGCTTCTTCGGCTTGGCCGCGGCCTTGACGGGCTTCTGCTTCTTGGGGGCGACAGGCGAAGTCTCCTCGGCGGCTAGAGCGACACACGGTTAATTGATTGTCGGGGAAAGCGGTGGTGGGTTTGTGCGAGACGGACCCTTGCGCTTCGTCACCTTCTCGACCTTCTTCACAACAGGCTCCGCGACGTTCGTCTTGGCTGAGGCACAATTAGCTGTTTTGACCCATATGACGGTCTATCAGGGGAATGCGACGCGTACACTTTCGCTTTCTAAGTTCGGGAGCCATTTTGGACGTGTCGTGGGGTTGTCGTGGGTTCTATCACTTCAATGTACTGAAGATACCGTCGACCTCTGCACTTGCGGCGTGGCTGGCGAACAATAACCAAAGAAAAATTTCCAGGTTCTGCCATCCATGTGCAGCTAACCCGACCCTTTGTGGGAAGCGGTGTGGCAAGACCCCTCTAGTCCCTCCTTCCAGCAGCGTTCTTCAGTGGGGAGCACCTCGACGGGCAGGAAGCACTGACCTCTCCTGCCACTGTCACCCGCGATTACCTTATACGGGAGCCACCACAGAAGTACTGAACCGCCCTGAGCCGCCCTGAATCTCTCGTCTCAGTCTGCTCACGAAGAGCTGCCACCATCCTCTGCCTGCCTATTGACCTTCATGGGCGGCATTGCAGCAAAGATAACAAACACATCAACAATCCCTTGGTGATTCAGTCATTTAGATCATTTTTGCGGTTCGACAGACGGACTACCCTTCTCACCGGTCAAAGCCGTAACCGCGGTGACCGTCTGCGCACTCTCCGCCCAAGGCACACACAGCCTTCAGTGCATTTACATGAAGGCTTTGGCCTCATTCATTCAGACCCCGCACCGCCCAATCTTTTGTAAAACTAAGCTTGCAACTCTGATCCGCCAGAGAATTTCAAGGATTTGACGCCTACCTCAGCCAGCACACCAAGCCACATCGATCTGGTCAATGTGATTGACCGCCGAACACCTGACTTCTCAACAACTGACTCGGTTCGGCCTCAGACCTTACCCGCGATGACAGTCTCGGAAGACCAGTTGACCCACGAGGAGGTGTGGGATGATTCGGCCCTCATCGACTCCTGGAATGAAGCTTTGGACGAATACAAGGCACGTCAGAACCGCGCTTTGGTCCTCTCGACCAACAGGAGTGACCTCCCCCTACTTCGATTTTGATGGCGACTGACTGCTCCGTGAAGAAATATCATAGCATTCACGCCAAGGGAGGCAAACTCGCAGACCTAGAGCCGCGCGCGTCCACTACCTCGAAGTAGGTCACAATTCCCCTGTCACGGGCGCCCTTCTCCATAAACAGTCAACTCTAATGGTGATCATGGCAGGATCCTCAAGGCTTTGCAACCAGAAACACGGGAAGGTGATCGGCCAGCTGAGGCAGATCTGCCACCCGGTGGCCTGGAAGAAACCCATCAAGTCAGTCAAGTCCTGACACCGTTATTCTGCAATCCTGCGGGCATCCTGATAAGGCCACCGAGGGTTGGCCTGGCGCTCCTCCATGTGGTTCAAAAGTCTTCGCACTTTTTGCTGACGCGCGTGGTCGCTGCAGGTCACTCTTGGAACCGCGCCCCCAACAGCAAGCGTATCGGAGTCGAGAGATACTGCAGGGGATGCGACAGCGATGGCACCCCCACAGTTGCTGCTCAGTACAGGTAGGTTCTGGCACTCTGTTGCTTGCCGAGCTTCGCCATCGGGCTGCTGACGACAAGGGTAGTGCAAGATGAGGGCCTCAAGAAACTTCTTATGTCGTGGTACTACGCGGGGTACTACACAGGGCTGTACGAGGGGCAGCAGCAGCAGCGTGCACAGCCGAGCGCATCGTGAAAGGCGCCAACAGTACCGATGGGCAAACCCCTAGGCCAAGCTTCGGACGAAATCTTGATGTCGCTGTGGGGAATCAGACCAGATTCGCCGGACGGGACACCAACTCTATCTGATCAACGGGCTGCAAGCGTAGTTCTGCGACACGATCTGTTCCACGACGCACCGGCACTCAAGCTAGCCACGTTTGAGGCTCGACAAGGCATGTGTCGAGGCTGGGCGCCCACTCAGAGCTACTGCAGCTTTGCCAAGGAGGAACGGCCTGGAATCCATGGGGACAATTGGAGCGATGGATATCTAGCACTGCACCATCACCCCCTCGTCTGGATCGGCCCATTCAGCTACGCAGTATCAGATTGTGACGAGTGTTGCCCCTTTTTATCGTCCGTCCGCAAATCGCTGCCAGAGCTGTTTCGTTTCGCCTGCCACGGTTGGGTAATCTCACAGCTGTTCAGACCTCATCTCAAGTATGGCAGCTTCGGGCCTTCCGACCGCAGGGCTGATCAATGGGAGCCTTCAGATATTTCGTCTTGACAACATTAACATGATTGGAGAAACACTGAAGCAGAGTGCACCTGATGTCGCGACACTGACAGACGTCACAGATAATACTGACCGGCCTTCCAACGATTGAGGTACCTTGACAGGCCCGTTTGAGCACGTGCTGACGAACATGCAATCATCAATGGCGATACATCAGACTTGAAGTTTCGGTAATCGGCTTGCCGCACCACAGCATACCGGCACTGCGGCAATGAACGGAACGGCAGCGAGAGCTTCGATTGCGCGGCTCGCTGGATTGTTGCGCAGGATTTAATTTCAAAAATTCCGTAGGCCTCCGGCTTCCCGCGTGCCTTTGAGCAGTCAGAAAATCACGGGCCGAAGAGCTCACTGGTCCTCGTCATCTCAAGAAGCAGGGCACCCTTAGCAATAGCGGCCATCGCGGTATCAGACTAGACGAGAAACCCCTCTCTGACAGCAACCCAAGAGATGGGCAGAGTTCGTGCGACGACATGGGTTATGGCGTTGCGACCATGACGACGCGCCTTGAGCGTAGCCAAGAAGGATGTTTCAGAGCCTCCATGCCGCCGTTTGGAGTTGTGGGCACGTCCAAGCAGCTGGCGAATGAGGGCGTCAAGGGGGTCGGTTTTCCCTACAGGCGAGCGACAGGCGGATGCGACTCAGCAACCCGCCAAGGTGCGTGAGCTGTCGTCTCTAACTCGTCGTGGCTGGTCTGGAAGGCTGGTCGTGTGCCATTGGCCAACGTACCCCAGTTCTTAGCTTCCGGCAGCTAAAATCCCCCTTTCGCTCTTTTCGCCCGCTGCACATGTCCCAAGGGGTCCAACCACCACCAGCTGAGCCAGTCCGGTGCCTGAGTTTAAGGTTTAGCGCGAGCGCTGCTCCCAAGTTCAATGGCCGAGTTGCGCTGACCCAAGTTACGACGGGATCACGCGAAAGACTTTTGCTGTGCAGGTATCACAAGCTTGCGAGGCGACGACAACAGCATCGCCATTTTTTTTTGAAGCTTGCAAAGTTACCAAGGAGCCATGTGCATGACAGCAGCAGGATCAGCAGGCGCCTGTCAGTATCATTGGTGACAACGGCCCTCAGCGTCTTGCGGAAGATGGGCCGCTCGGGCCAGGCAAGGGGCCCAGCAACGCCCAAACGCGACTCGAGACGAATCTGTCACAGCAACCCCTTGTCGAGCTTGCCCACGCAACCCACCTTGGATGCTTCGACGACGATACCAAACCCCCTGTACCGTCTGTATCCATGTCCTTTTCCTCTGGTCTTGGCCTCTGTCTTGGGATGGCAATGCAACCACCGCTGTTCATCCATCGGACGCAGGCGACCCGAGCGGCGTCAACCAGGGACATGCTCTCGTCTTGTTTCGAGAGCAAGCCATTGCAGCCTCTTGGCCCGCTGCGCCCCTGACGTGCCATGCCTTTCGTCTCTGCTCCGAGCGCGTCTTGGGAGCTTCATGCGACCTTGATTTAAGCACTGATGTTGCCCTTCCGTCTCGAAATAGTTTCTGCTTTTGCCCTCCATCTCTTCCTCTCTCTCTTCAGTCAACTCGTGTGCTCGCTCATTGCCGTGTGGACTTTCATTCCCTTCAGGTTTTTTTCATTCACTTCACTTCACGAGCAGGAACTCGCCGGAACCATCCAGCATATTTCACACCTTTGCACCCCGTTCGACACGGCCTCCTGAGGGAAAAAATACGTCTTTACCAGCCAGTCTGTGATCCACAACAGTCAAACGTCTTCCGTCAATTCGTCTTAGTAATACATACTCCAACAAACTAAATCGACAAGATGAAGTTCTCCGCAGCGCTCTCCATCTCGGCCGTCGCCGCCCTGGCCTCCGCCACGAACCACGAGGAGTCGCCGGCCAAGGCCTTGATGCCTCTGCCTGCCGGCATGAAGGGCCACGGCATCACCGAGGGTTCGGACACCAACGTGATTGTCATTTGGGTCAACCCTGGTAACGGCGCCGAGACCACCACTGTCAACCAGCAGGTCACCGTTACCGAGACTGTCGTCGTCGGGGCCCAGACCCCTCCTGCCGTCCACCCGCCTCCTGCGGCGCCTCCGGTCCACCCGCCTCCGGCCGCCGCTCCTCCGGCCGAGGCCATGCCACCTGCGCATCCTCCTCCGGCTGCTGCCCCTCCCGTCCACCCTCCTGCTGAGGCTGTCCCCCCGACTCCTGCGCCCCCTGGCGCCGAAACGCCCGCTGCCCCTGCCGCAGGTGCCACCCACAGCGTCACGGTCGGCGGCCCCGGTGGTCTTATCTACGCCCCTGACCAGATTCACGCTGCTGTCGGCGACATGGTCATCTTCACTTTCCTGAGCGCCAACCACACCACCACTCAGTCCAGCTTTGACCTGCCTTGTGACCCCCTGGCCGGTGGCATGGACTCTGGCTTCATTCCCAACCCTAACAACACTGTCGAGCCCCCTCCTCAGGTTGCCATGCAGGTTATGGTCTCTGACCCTCTTTGTAAGTTGCCCGTCTGCCAGATGCCAAGGTTCGTGAGCTAACGACGCCAGGGTTCTACTGTGCCCAGGGCCCTCACTGCGGCAAGGGTATGGTCTTCTCCATTAACCCTACTGCTGAGCGCACCCATGCCATGTTCCAGTCGATGGCCATTCAACAGAAGGGTGACGGTGCTGCCAGCCCCATTACCGGCGGCTCGCCTGCCCCCCCTGCTGCCCCGCCTGCCGCCCCTCCCGCTGCTCCTCCCGCCGGCACTGAGCTCGCTCCTCTTCCCGGCGCCACCGATGCTCCCGTCGCGTCTCCCCCGGCTCCCGGCGGTGGCAACGGTGTCCAGAACGGTGTCGGCCAGATCGACCAGAACGGCGCCTGCGTGTGCACCGTCCAGTGCGACATGGGCTCGTTCCCCAACCTGGACATGCAGGGCGTCGGTGCCGTCGGTGGCATGGGCGGCTCGATCCCCATCGGCCAGCCCGTCCGCAAGAGGTGGTAAGCGGATCGTGAATGTAAGCTTGAGCCTCACGTTGCTCGCTTACGGGGAGAGATATACCAAACTTTTTCTTTTTATCACACATTTATTTGTCCGGAGTTGAAGACGAGATGAAAGGAAGATATGATTGGCAACGCTGTTGTAGACACCCGCTTGAGGCAACTGGGACTGGCTGGCCTAGAGCTCCATGGGGCCCTTGGAGACAGGGGTTGTACACACACTTTGAAGTATGACTGGTTCGTATCTTTCTGGATATGTCCAAATTAATAGGATTTGATCATGACTGTAACTGCTTGCGCGTGACGTGATTGCATGTGAGCGTGTCTGCGAGATCGATGTTGGGGGCGCCTGCTGGGCACGCCTCGAAAGCCATCTGCAAGACGTCGTTGTGAGAGGTTTAGGAGTGGTCTATGGGCGTTGACGCCGACTCTGAAGAAACAGGAAAATGCGATGTCAGCGAACAAACGAGGGAGGAGGTTGAGGAGGCAGAGAAAATCTTGGTGGTCAGCATTTCATTTCGTCACGACGAGTCTGACTGCTATTTGGCCTGGGGGCCGCATCCGTCCTCCTCATGCGGCAACCGCATCCCATCAACCCGCGCCCACCACCCTGGCCCTACCTCTCTGTCTCGCTTCGTCGCGCCTCTATCCTGCTCAGGCCATCTATTTCTTGCCCTTGTCCTTGGCAGGCTTGTCCTCGCCAGTGACCTTGCGTGCCTCGGCTAAGCAGAGCGGAGCGTCAGCGAGGTCCTACCTGTTATTTGGAAAAAAAAAAAAAAAAGGAGGTTTTCGGGGCGAAGCGCGTGCGCAGGCAGGCAGGAAAGATACAAGATGACATACCGGCAGCCTGCTTCTGGCGCATAATCTCAGCTGCGCTCTCACGGGAGCGCTGGAGCTCGGTGCCGCTTTGGCTGTTGCCGGATTTCTGCATGGGCACGTCAGCTGAACGGCCCGTTGCTTCTAGTCAAGACTCTGTCTCTCTCCCCCTCTCTCTCCGACGACGATGATGATGATGATGATGATGATGATGAGTATGGCTCGGTGGGCGAGGGTCTTTGCTGTGGAGCATCGTTGTCGTCGTCGAGCAGGCGTGGCACGTCTCATCACTTGGACTCGTTCATTCATTTCCCGCTCCTCTCCTGACGTCGAATATGGGGAGACCAGGTCCCAACATGTTGGGAGATGTAGGGGCGGATTCGGGGCAAGGAGGTGCTCTCTCACCATGGCAGCCTGCTTCTTCAGGTTCGCCTCACGGGCCTTGTCGCGCTGGTTACCACGGGCCATTGCTTTCTTAGTGATGTTTCGCTGAGCCTATCTTTCTTCTTCTTCTTCTTCTTCTTCTTCTTCTTCTCTCTGGTTGTCTTGGGCACGTTGGGTACGGGACTTTCCCCGAGTATTCGCCTGGTGAGTGAGATGTGTTATCTGGCTGGCTCTTCAGGGGTTGGTGGTGGTGGTGGGAAGCCGAAGGACAGGTGGGTGAGCGCGAGGGTGACGGAGTGAGGTGAGAAAAAAAGATGAAGCAGGCAGGCGGTGAGGCTGCGTCCTTTGTGCCCAGGCTTTGGCTTTATTCGCCTTTTAGGGGGGACAGAGAGGACATGTAGGGGGTCCAGACCTGCAACGGGATTTGCGGAGTGTCTGATTGGCGGATATCGTTTCTCGACCAATGAGAGATCTGGAAAATCACGATTGGCTCTGTCCGTGTGGGCGCGGGACAGTCTTCCAGATATCGATGGCCATTTCGACCAAGAACCAGCATGGCCTGTCATCGGCGGCACTTCTGGTCCGACACGCTCACCGCGGCAGCCGGAAGCCAGGACGGCGGGAAACGCACTTGACACGTCACAGGCGGTTCAGAACACTGGCAAACTGATTGATCTGCCTATTACAGCCAGGAGCAAAGCGCAATCCGGAATCCAAGACAAGTGTGCTCTGCTCAAACACCACAAGTCGATGGATGCTGCTATATGGCTTTTGAGCGCGAGACGTCCGGAGACATGTGGTTGCCCTCAGCCTCCCGGTGAGAAAGAAAACAACGCCACCAATTTTGTCCCTACGAGGGAGAAACCCTCTGATACAGGCAAGGAGGAAACGAGTAAGAAAAAGCTGAAAGACCACATCCACCCCATCTTGCTATTTCTGCCACAAGCGGCTTTACCATAGAGCCCCGTTTCCCAGTCCAGGATCCATCGTGCCCGCCGCTTTTCTGCCTGCATTGTATGTTCTCCCAGTCAAAGTCATGGAAGAGTATTCAAAATAAACCAAGGTCCAGTGAAAGTCGGAATCCTGTGTTCGAGAAACGGACCAGGCAGCGAAGCGCAGGCTGTGTATGCAGAGCCAAGTGCTTGTAGGAAGAAGAAAATGGGCTTCAATGCATGTAGAGCCCGCTGACTGAGCCGCAGCATGTATCGAATCAACGCACATCTCGGCTTGGGTCCTCCGACGTCTTGCCCAGAAAAGAGAAAGAGGGCTCCGCCTGACAGAATCCAGAAACAAGACGCAGCAGTCGTGTCTATCCAGGTCCTTTGATCGCCAAAAATGAGCAGGCGGTCCTCAGTTGCTGACGGCAGGATCGAAAGGGTGGCAAAATCCAGTGTAAAATGTAACGATGCAGAAAGTGACAAAGGGAGAAAGAAACTGAAGAAGAAAAAAACAAGAAAAACATCCTAATGAAGAAGAAGAGGCAGAAATCAAAACGTTCGTTTCATCTATGTCCATGAATCGAGGGTTATATGTTTCCCCCCCAAGTACACGCCAACCAGATCAGAAAACCCACCTTGCCTGTGGAGGGGAATCCCCGACGGTGGCTGTCCTGTTGCAATGCTCACACCTCCCCGGCGAATGCCCGTCTCCATCGTTGGCCCATCCATGCGATCCGCGGTCGTAGTGTACAACGATAAGCAGCGTCACTTCCGCAAGAAGGAAGAAAGAAAGACGTGCTCCGAAATTGAGGAGGGGGTGGAGGTAGTATACGCGGATGAGGCCAGACAGAGAGACCCAGGCCAGGGAAATCGTCGTTTGTGTAGTGCACAGAGAGTAAAAGGAAAGACCGGTCGTCAAGTCGTGGCAGCGTCACCATGCTGAAATGAAGAGGAGGGCAAAAGGGCTGATGAGAGCCATGTAACCACCCCTCGTAACGTAACGTAATCCGTCGTGTCAAAGCCGTTTTTCCTGCATATCGTACCACTTCCAAGAGGCATGTTCCTCAGGTGCTGCGTTGTCGCAGGCACCCTACAGCCACTGGGAGTCATCGCCGTTGTTGGAAGCAGCGGTGCCGTTGCCGTTGGGAGCTTGGCTCTGCTGGTTCTGCTGGCCCTGCGGGACCTGCTGGGCCTGACCCTGGAACTGTTGGCCCTGGTTGAGAGGCTGGAACTGCTGCTGCGGTTGGAACTGAGGCTGAGCAGGGTTCCAGGCCAGTTGAGAGGGCTGTTGAGGAGCCTGGGTGGCAGTGGGAGAGGCAACAGTCAGGTTCGAGGTGTGAGGGTAGCTCATGGCCTGGGCAGTCCCATTGCGGGCGCTACCGTTGACGAAACCGCTGGGCAAGGGGGCGCCAGGCTGGACAATCGAAGCGTTGTTGACCATGGCGCGGTTCTGACCAGGACGCAGGGGGATTTGGCCTTGGGTGTTGTCGGCAGGGGTTATCTGGCCAGACGAGGTGGCGCTGCCGCGGCTGTCGTAGGCCTGAACCTTGGCCTGGATGCGGCGGCCGTAAGGGGTCGAACGCACAGCGGGAAGGAAGGGGCGGATAACCTCAACCATGCGGTGCTTGCCCTCGGGAGTGGCGTACTCGAGTGCCGTCTGAATGACATAGTTGGCATACGAGTCACGCAGCAGGCGGTCCATCTCGCCAGGCTGAAGGAGCTCGTCGACGATCATGTCACGGCCCTGGGCCTGAGAGCAGCGGAGAAGCTTCTCGATGACGTTGGAGCTGAACTTGTGGCGAGAAAGCTGGCAGATGCGGTTGCGGAACATGCCAACGACTGGCTCGGTAAAGGCGGGTTCGTTGAGGTCGATGATGTACTGCACGACGTAGTTGCCGAAGGGATCCTGGACGAGGACAGGGGCATGTTCCGTAATCTTGCCAATGAGCCAGACCTTCTGAGCGCCATCGGCATGGTCGATGCAGCGCTGGAGAACGCAGCAGCCGTGGCGGTGGGTGCCGACATCGACGCAGTGGTTGCCAACAGCGTCGAAAATGAATTGGGCATCAGGGGCGCTTAACTTGTTGAGGCACTTCTGGATGACATGGTTGCCATTCAGATCCTGGATCAGCTCAACAACCCGGTAGCGAAGGGCGTCAATGATCATCTGAACCTGGATAGAGGTCGTGACAAACTCGATCATCTTCTGCAGCGCGCGCGTGCCGTGCTGGTTCAGAGCGATACGGACCATGTCCTGAGCAGCGTTCTGAATGAGCACCGTTCGCTCGTCGTCATTGCAGTACTCAAGCAGCTTCTGGCAGAGGTAGTTGCCAAAGGGATCGGTCATGAGCTCGATGACGTGCTGGTTGGTCTCGAGCCAGATCATGTGGACCTGGTCAGGATTGCGCTCCTCAAGCTTCTTCTGCAAGTAGCGGCAGCCATGCTGGTCTTTGCACAGCTCGTAAATCTGACCACCGACGTGCTCAAGAGGCAGGTTCTGGTAGCGCTGCATAGCTGTAACAAGGATCGAATTAGCATGCGCTCATTCCGGCTAGGAGAGAATGCTTACCGTCATTGTCCTGTTGGCGTCGGTGCTGGATCACACGCGCCTGGCTGTCACGCGGGGCTGAATGGGCAGGGATGGCAGGAGTGTACAGAGAACCGTAACCGGTGAAGTTCTGAGGCGGGTAGGCCGAGCCGCCGTTAAGATTCAGATTCTGCATGGCAAGAAGGGGAACGCCGTAGGCACCGTTGAGCTGGCCGTTGTTCTGGGGGTTATACATGTTGACTGGGCCATTGCCGTACGGGTTGAAGCCTTGGTTGATGCCGTTTTGGCCAGCACTATTGGGACCAGACACACCAACCTGGCCGCCAACATTGTTGAGACCGTTGGTCTGCTGGTTATTGCCGTTGTTGCCACCAAAAGGAGCAGCGTTCTGGTTGAGGCCGTTCAGGCCGTTGGTAGGGCCGAAGGGTGCAGCATTCCCGTGGAGAGCGCTCTGAATGGACGGGTAGTTGCCACTCTGCTGGCCCGAGCCAATGTTACTGTCCGACGACAGCTCGCGGCTGTGACGGGGAGGGGCTGCACCGGCAGGAATGCGACCGATGCTAGCGTTGTGGTTGTGGAAATGCTGCTGAGCATGGTTGTTGGCACCCGAGGCATTTTTGACGGTCGGGACAGAGTTAGCAGAGAAGGAACTCTGCAGCTTGGGAGGAGTAGTCATGTTGCCGTTGCTGGTGGGAGACACGACCGAGTTGCTGTCGGAGGGGTTCTCGGAGAAGTACTTGAGGTCCAGAGAGTGACGGACTGACGACGGACGCGAGCCGATGACGGAACCGTCGGCGGAGGACGAACCGTTGAGCTGAGCGTTGATGCTCGAGAGACTCTGTCGGGCGCGATGACGGTTAATATGACCCCAACCGTTGGTGGACGAAGACGCGTCAGGTGCAGGAGACGGGGAGAGAGCAAGGTCAAGAGCAGCAGAAGACGCGGAGAGCTGTGGCGATGGCCGACGTCAGAACCGTGGTCAAAGACAAGGTGAGGCAGCTCAAAGGTAAGAAAGGGGATAGGGGTGGAGGATAACAGGTGAAGGAGCCAAAGTACGAATACTCTGTAAAGGGAAAGGAAGGGTGAATGAAGGTGGACCGTTGGCAGCGTGGTCAGAGACGGGATAGGGCAATGATTTGGGGGATGCGTCGCAGCAGCAGGAGCAAAAATGAACAACGCCTTCCACAATACAAGAACGATCAACAAACTCTCTTGGCCATAGCGCCATCGAGAGAGCATTCACCGTAGTTCGGGGACTCGTCTTCCATGTTGCCGCCTGAAGCTCACGTGAAGGCTCATTCGCTGAGCGATGACAGGCACCCAGCAGGCCAGCTAGCCAACGTCAAGGGGCAAGTGTAATAGAAGCAGAAGGAGCGGTTAGGTAAAAAGAGAAAGAAAGAAAGAAAGAAAGAGGAAAAGTAGACATACCATTTGGCCCTCGGCGCGAACGAGGGTAGGGAACTGGTCATCAGTCAGAGCCTGGACGTACTTGGCGTCGCCGGCATTGTCGTCCTCGCCGAAGAGGAAGCGGGCAGTGCCAGTCTGGTCAAGGTCCGCGCCATAGAGACCCGTACGAGAACGAGTGACGGGCATCGAGTAGCGGTTGTAACTGTTGTCGACGGAACCACGTCCCTCTTTGTCAGCCATGATTCGTGATCCCAAGGTCTTCGGAGTGGGCAAGCTGGAGAGTTGAGTAGAAAGCTGGGATGAACCAAGATATGGGGGCTGTGGGGAAAAGAGGGAAAAGTGTACGTGCTAGAATCGGGAAAGTCGTGTCAAAAGGAGATAAGGGATATCGGATGTGAGAGTAAGGCTTGCGCTGGAGACGCAAAAATACCAGAGGATAACAGATGAGGAAGGAAGATCGTTCGCTAGGTAGGCACCGAAATGCCCACGGAGAAGGGAAGCTGTGGCAAAGAGTTTTCGTTCACTCTCCCTACAGGCGACGGTCCTTGGAAGTGAGGCCCAGTGAATCATCTCTCCCGAGAGGGTGAATGCTCTCAAGACAAGATACGAGCAACAGCTTGGGGAAGGCAAGGCGGGATCTCCAGGAAAAGCTAGGTAAGGAGTCTAGATGTTCGGGGCTAGTGTGAAGATGTCGGGTCCAAGGTCCTGTCCGAAAGAGAACATTGACTCGCCAACAACTGCGGCAGCACTGCTTTCTTTCAAGGTATCATGGGACCAGCAATGGGGATGCAGGCATGGGGGTGCAGTAAAGGGGATGGTAGGGTATTGTGAGAGACCAGTGGTATCGCGCGCCCACTCGAGCCGCTATGAAACGTAATCCTTCTCGAGGAATAAGGTCGTCGGGGGGAAAGCCCCGAGAATCATTGATCACCGGTCAAGATACTCGCCCACAGCTTGTCCACATGATCGAAGCGAGCAGGGAAAGGAGGGGGGACTCACGCATTTGAAGAGCGGTGGCTCGATGGATCTTGCCTGACCGCTTCCTCTTTCTCGTCTTCGTCGCTGTTCCTCCTTGAAGCAGGCACCGACCTCGAAGGAAGATGGTGCTCGTCGAAAGCCATGCGTGCGGACTGCTGCATGATGCCCGACTGCGGCGACGCGAGGTTCGACCCTGACCGGCCGGGCCGGCCGAAGAGCCCTGGTGGCGACGTCAAGCTCGAAGTCGAGTAACGGTTGGGGCGGGAGAACATGGAGGGGAAGCCGGAGCTGTCATGGTATTCAGGCGGCGTCGTCGGCTCGGATTGGTGGCCAGCTCGCTGGAGATCGTCCTGCATCTTGAGAAGCTCCATCTCTTCGCGTCGCTGAACCTGTTCCAGTTTCTGCATCTCAAGCTCGAAGCGGCGCTTCTGGTCGCGGAGGCGTTCGTATTCTCGCTTTTTCTTTTCCAGCTGGGATTTACGGTTAGCAGGCTGTTCGTCTCCGTCGGGCTGGGTTAGGCGAGCAGAGCACATGGTGCCCTCGCTTGGTGAGGCGACATACCAATTGCACCTGGGAGTTGCTGTACGACTACACGATCAATGTCAGCCCAAAAATCCCCGTCAGGTCCGGATGCCCGTCAGATTCCACCCCGCGCAGAATGGCAGACAAGGGCCTTGATAGCATGTTGCTCGCAAGAAAGCACATACGTTTTCATATTGGCTCGGGTCGGGCCCAGCCATGGGACTGCGTAGGGAGGTAATAGAAGACAGTGTTGGTACACGCCCCGAATCGGTGGTGAAGCGACGAGGCAGGGTGGTTCGTAGATCGTGAGTCTGGACTGGGTTGGGCATGCGCGTGTTGCCGTTCCGCGGAGGTGAGACAAGGTTGTTCATGGTCGCCTCGTTGCGAGGCGACTGCTGAGATCGAAAGCGCAAGTCGTCCATTTTCTTCTCGTTCAAGTCGTCGCTGAATGGTTCCTGGAACTCTCTCTTTCTCTCGCTCTCTGTTTGTAGAGGCTTGTCTGCTTCCTCTCGTGTCGTCTTTCGTTCTGCGTTACTACAACAATCTTTCGTACACGCCCGCAATTGGGCTGGGTGGAAGAAGAGGGATTTCGAGTGGAGGATTGTTCGAGTTGTTCGTCTATCGGCGCTGCTGGTGCCGACGAAGGGCAGCGGTCAGCAGTGGAAGCGTGCCAGATTTGGCGTGGGAGGGTCGAAAGGCAGAGAACAAAACGTGGTGGAGGGGGGTGTGGCAGAGGAGGAGAGACAGGCGAGACAATTCAAGATAAAGAGGCAAGGCAAAGGCAGGCTAGAGCCGTCAAAAATGGTAAAGTCAGGTAACAGGGTAACGGGCCACACACACGCGCTATGGCGAGTCGGAGGCGGGGGGGTCTTGGGCCTTGGACCGTTGGGGGTAATGATGGGCGATTCGCGAGCGCGGGAACCCAAGAACCGAAAGCCCAAGAGCGACACAAATGGCAGAGCAGAGGCTGAGCTGGACCAAGAATAGAGAGGGTAGACTCGCTCTCTCGTGAAGAGAAAGTGATAGCAACAATTCTTGCACCTTTCGAGTGTGCTCAACATACCCAAGTGTCGTTCGGCTGCTTCTGCCTGTCAACCCTAAGGTAGGGGGTGCTGCACGAAGCCCTATGCTTCTGACGGGCGGGATTCGCTCGTTCCCATCGCGCATGTGGCCAAAGGCCGACATTGGTTGGGGAAGCCCAGAAGACCAGCAAAAGGGGGAAGAGGGGTAAGGGTGAAAGACACAAACTAAGACTGATGAAATAATGAGAAACAAAAAGACGTACCATGGACACGTTGTTGAATGTGCTTGTTACGCTCTTCTGATCTGCTATGATCTTTGCTGTCACCAAAAGTGAACAAGCTCGCTGTCGCGACTTTAGATAGCTGGGTCGGCAACCTTAGGTATGAGGCAAGTGAGTTGGTAGAAAAGATAATGGCGACAGCTCTTCTCACACACGTCACGTCGCGCACCCTGGAGAGCCAGAGGTGAACAGGCCGAGGAAAGGTTGGGTAGGTTAAAAAAAAAAAAAGTAGACCGAGATAAACACACGGCACACTGTCCATGTAAGAGGACAAGTCCAGGTCGAATCAAAGAAGAGAGAGAAAAAGGAACGAAACAAGCACACTGCACAGACGCTTGACGACCCTGGCCGGGCAATAAAGGACGTGGGGAGAGCAACGCGACAGTTCCAGATAGGTCAAAAGGCAAGGTCCGGTTGATGACCAGCTAGCTTCCCTCGCTCAGGCGGAGAACAGAAGAGGGGGGCACACTTGAGGCTTGAGGCTTAAGGCTTGAGGGGGCGGGAGGGAAGAAAATGTATCGTTCAGGGCCACGGAGGCACTGTATGGAGGACGCCAGGACCACGACTAGGAGCTTGATCGTGGAGCCCCCTCCCCCCAGGATGCCGCTTTTCTAGCGTCAATCAGACCGCAAGACTGATAAACCGCCCATGCCGCGCTCCTCAATGTCTCCTCTGGGTGGTGCCTGGTCTTTCTCCCCCTTCCCTGGTCTCCTGCCCATTGTTCATTCTCAGTCGATGGCTCCGAGGCCCAGAAGCACAGCCAGCGGATGGCCCAAGAGACCCCTGCGCTAACGTTGCTCCACCGGTTGGTCCCCTGGTCCCTCATCGCTTCTAGCGCAGAACCCTCCTCCGGCGAGTGAGTGCGTGGGTGGGTGAGATGGCCCGAAGGGTGTGTGGTGGGACGGGCGACGCCGCCTGGTAGGGTATCTCAAACAAACCCCCCAGTAGCGCCAAATCGGCGGAAGAGTTGCCTTGGGCGTGGGCATGCGTGTCCCTAAGTCAGGTACCGCCTGCCCACGTCACACATCCTGGCTGGGGGTGGTGGGATGGTAAAGCTACGAACCTTGACAGTGAGACACCGCGCGGTCACCGTTCGTAGTGAATACCGACTGATCGGTGTTCCCCAGGCTTGAATCGTAAGTTTCTCATGATGATGGTCCTCTTCTGACAACTCACATCATTGAGTCGAGCACCACAGGCAACAGAGTCACCAAGTGGACCAGGGCAGGGAGCAGCAGCGCCTCGTTCCGTCCACCAGTGTGTGTCTGACCAAGGCGTTGTGTCCAGGGAGGGCTCGGCACACTAGAGCAGCACATCATGAACGGTCGGGCCTAGCACTCCCCTCCATGCCACTTACTGTCAGGGGGCGCTTAGCTACAGCCTGTTCCGCCTGTCGTCTGATTTGGGGAAAGGTACCCCTTTTTTCGCAAGTCGGTCCGCGTAGCCAGCCATTGCGTCCTTCCTCCTGCCACATGACCGTGTGTCCAAGGTCTTCCCAGGTGTCCGTCAGCGGTGAGGACTTCGGACGACCGAAGTTCAACAACAGCGGGAGAAAAGGTGTCCCGCTACGCTACTGATGACTCCCACAAATGAGTTGGCCGTTTGACTTCGTGGCATTGAACGCCTCAACCATAGTGGCCAGCCGCCACTGGAGGCCAGCTTGATTGTGGCCCAGAACTGCTACATCGCAGACCAGGTCCTTATTAGGGTTCATTCTTTGCCTTTTCTCAACCATGACGAAGCCCGCGATTCGCCCCCGCTCCCCGTTCTGCAGCATCGCAGGAGGCCGGGTCCACCCACCCAGCCTTGGCGGTGTGTGGCCACAGTCATGGCACTCATCCAGTGCCAGTACCATTGTGTCGGTGCGTTTTTGCTTCGTTGCGAGGGAACGGTGAGCAGCAGCCTTTCACCGACAGACGGCAGATATTGCATTGAGGCCGCTTGGCCCAATCTCACGCGATGAGAGATCTAAGCCACGTCCGTGCTGTGTTCGCGTTCCACCTGTCAAAAGTCCTTTTTGGGAGGAGTGTATACAATAGTCCGTGCCAACGGTGATCGCATGAGACACGGCGGCTGTTCAAGCGTTGATGGCGAACAGTCTCCAACTATTGATGGATCAGGCAGGTCTAAAATTGGTGGCTCCGAGGATCTTGCTCAATTTCAAGCCCAGGAGCCGTAGAAGTTTGCCACGACTGTCGAGCTGAAGGTCGGGAACGTCCTGGCCACAGCTCGGTTTAAGATCATACTCGCCAGCCGATTTGATAGGAGCCTTGATTGGATACGATTTCTTCGAAGAGATGGGGAAAGTTCGTCAACTCGCCCCTCAACCCCTCAGTCTGTCAACCCCTCCAAAGGCAACATTAGCCACGTATGGCTCGGCGTGGCTCGATGGCCCACATTCGACATCGTCTTGGTCGGGCCGCGAAACTCGTGCATTTGTGCGATCGTGACGCTTCCCGTCACTGTCAGCTTCTGAATAGGGGCGTCGACACTGTGTCGACTGCGGATTGCAAATACAGGCTTTGAGATGTTCGCTGGTGCAGGATGAGCCGTCATGGGCTGCGTGAGACCTACCTGAGTCCTAAAGGCTTGCCAACGTCTCTCGTAGAAGAAGTAAGAGACCATCAAAGTGGGGGTTCAATATCCCGCTCGGCGATGAAAACCAGGACAGGCCTGGTTTCCGAGTCCCACCCTTCTCGCGTCGCGCAACGGGCGGCATTTGTTGTCTTTGGAGGATCTGTTCGCCCTTCCGTCTCGAGCGAGGCAACAGTTGCCAAATATCAATCGTGGTTGTTGCAGTGCCATCTCGTTCGTCTTCGGTGGTTTTGGGCAGGCACCTTCACGTAGCAGCCCCGTTTTGGAGGCATTCAATCCACAGATCGCAAGAGACCACTGCACTTACACGCGTGCTAGTGCACGTTGCTGCAAGTCAGCTCTCTCATCGTTGCCTGGCACGGGCACATCTCTCTCGTCCTCGGAACTGTCCTGCATGGTAGACCTGCCTCGAGCCCAGACTGGGGTTCGAAACCGCTCCAGCCTCTCTCTCCTTGCCAGCCTCCCTTTTTCGTCCCATCTCGTCTCCACACCGAGATGCCGTCCACCGCCATACAAAGGAACCAAATGGGGTAAAAATCTGTGTAGACGCCCACCCGTCAAAGCGGCGGGCAAGTTTGACTAGCAGGTCGGATCCCACGCCAACATACTTAGCCTTACAGTACTAGCCTTGGAAAGCCACTCCATCGCTCAATGCGCTTCACCGACTTTTAGGGCCCGCATCGAGTGGCTCTTGTCGCAGACGCCGGCTGATGCTAGCAGTGGGGAGGGAGCAATTCGGCAGGCAGGCTTTCATTTGCATGCCGTTCTAGTTCTCGTTCACCGGATTCTGACGAGGGACACAGGCGGTCGTTAACAGTCGTATGTGTACGACAAACGCCACTTCGTCGTGCAAGGTGTGGGTGAATGAGGGGTCCATCTATTTTGTGGATGGCTGATCGTCATCAACCCGTTCCAGCAATGCCATGTATTTGAGTCGAGGCAATATCGGCTCGCTGATCAGCAAGCGTGCTGCTCGCCACCTCAAAACCCGTGTGAGGCCAGCAATCCTCGACAAGTCGTGAGGCTCGTGCTTTAGATGCTAGTCGAGTTTCTCGAGTTGACAATGCGGCATCCAAGCTGCCGTATCAGGGAGTTGCCCGTCATTGCTGATTGACGCATCATGCCGCCGGGAAGATCCTGTATATCACGCCTAGGTCTGCGGGAGGCGATGGTCCCCAGGCTTTCGCAGCAACCACCCACGAAGCTGGGCCTGCAGCTCCGATGTTGGATCTGGCCCTGCGTGGTCAGGTGTCTAGACTAAGAAGAATGCGGCAGAGGACGGCTCGGGACACGGTGATGCAGCTCGTCATAGCGGTCCTGCCAGCGCAGCATGCAGCGCCTCTTGCGCTTGCGCCTGCATCACATCTTGCTGCAGCCCATGCGGGGAACGATGGGGGAGTGTAACGACAAGCCAAGAGAGGGGCGAGGAGGGGTTGTCCAAGCATCGCCTTCGAGGCCCGTAGTGAGATGCATGTTGCGCATTAGGTGGGGTGAAGGCGCGCAATTTTCAAGTCGCGCAGAGCC